CGTTCAACTCCTGTTCAGCTTTTGCTGTAGTTTTGGGGGATGGTTCTCAGCTGCTGGTCTGTGCTTCTATTGCCTGGGATGGATGTCTGCTCCCCTGCCTCTCTTGCTGGGGGTATATCTCTACTCTGATCAGACTGCTACTGTGGAGGATGGTGCTGGGCTCCTGGCTGTCCACGGCTTTCCCCACAGGCACCTTGGCAGCTCCACTACTGTGCACTGGTCTGTGTTGACACAGGGTGTCCACTGGTCCAATGGTGCCAAGTGCACTGGTGGTTCAGGTTGCTGGGCCCTAGCCATTCCCTCTGCCTCCTCCCAGGGAAGACCCAGAATCTTCCAAAATGATGGGACCTCCCCGCAGCACAGGGAGAAGCGCTCTGAAGAGCCGGTTGCTCCCCTCCACAGCACAGGAACCTTCTGCTCCATGTCTCTGCACTGCACGAGTTTGGTTGTCCACCTTCACATCCACTCACACTCTCTCACACACTCGCTCACTCTCTCACACACTCACCCTCCCTCTGATCCTGCCTGCCGCCATCTTCCTATTTGCTTTTGATACATATTTTTTAAATATTTTTTTCTTTATTGATTTTAGAGAGAGAGGAAGGGAGAGGGAGAGATAGAAACATCGATGAGAGAGAACATCAATTGGCCGCCTCCTACATGCCCCCCACTGGGGATTAGGTCCACAACCTGGGCATGTGCCCTGACCAGGAATCGAACTGGTGACCTCTTGATTCATGGGATGATGCTCAACCAGTTAGCCACACCAGCCAGGCTATAGCTGATATTTTTAATAGTTTCAATAATTTACATCCCAAGGTCTGAGGCCTACATATTAAATACAGAATTATTGAGTGGAATTTATAGTTTTATTGCACAATATAGTAAGACAGAGTTACTGGTATGACCCTGAAATTAATACTCTAATTTGGTTCTGGTTTCTAGTAAGCACCAGGGCTGGACACCTCTATTGTGTTTCTACAGGATGTTAATATGTCCCATGAGTAAAAGGTTCCAGGGTCACCCTGGCTGGTTTGGCTCAGAAATTAGAGTGTCGGCCTGTGGACCAGAGTCTCAGGTTTGATTCCCAGTCAAGGGCACATACCTTGTTTGCAGTTCGATCTCCAGTCCTGGTTGGGGTCATGCAGGAGGCAACCAATTGATGTGTCTCTTTTACATTTATGTTTCTTTCTCTCTCTCCCTCCCTCCCTCCCTCCCACTCTATCTGAAAATCAATGGAAAAATATCCTAGGGTGAGGATTTTAAAGAAAGGTTCCAGGGTCAGGCCCTGGCCAGGAGGCTCAGTTGGTTAGAGTTTTGTCTTGATAAACCAAGGTTATGGGTTCCATCTCTGGTCAGGGCACACGTAAGAATCAACCAATGTGCATAAATAAGGGAACAACAAATGAGTGTTTTCTCTCTCCCTCTCCCTTCCTCTGTCTCTAAAATCAATAAATTTTAAATAAGTTTTTTAATAAATGAATAAAAGGGTTGCAAGGTCAGTGCATTTGGGAACCACTGGGTTAAATGGGTCTTGTGGCCACAGAACTGACGCGAGGACACACAGTGACAGTGGATGCTGTAAATCACTCGGAGGGGCGAGGCGGCGGCACACAAATGGACACCTGCCTGACCACAGACCGCTCTCTTTAGAGCACCTCACAGCGCTTGCGTTCCATGGGACACAGTTAAGGAAATGCTGACTGTTTGTTTGTTTGCTTTTTAAATTCAAATCATATCAACTTTAAGGGCAAGAATCCGCGTTTACTGACCTGCTGTACAAGCAGCTATTTGCTTGAAGGCAACTTTTCATTTCAGGCGAAAACATCACAATGTCAGGACGGGCAGGGACCGCAGAGTAACAAGCTCTGTGGCTGCATAATGGGCTGTGTAATAAATCACCTGCGGATTCTAAGATCACCATTTTGCGACCTAAATATTAGGTGCTCCCTTTTTGTGAAAAACATAACTTTATTATAAAGTTTATTGGTATAAAGGATGTATATCACACCATGTACAAATAATAAAATAGTACAATACACTTTATTCTAGGCCCTTTTGCAATCTGGTCTCTGACCCTGCTTGACTAGCTAGGCCACTTTGCAGTTTAAACTTTAACCCTGACCAACTGCATTCCCTACATTGTCCATTTCACCACAAAACTTGTTTTACCGGATTATTTTGTGGACTCCAAGGGAAACTGAGGCATTGGACCATGGCTTGTGACCATTGCCCTGCTGACCATGTCTTACGATTGACTCCAGCTGTTGGCCATATCCATCAACTCCACCTGCTGACCATGAGTCAACTGAAACAACCATTATTCTTTTTTTTTAATCCTCACGAGGCTATTTTTCCATTTATTTTCAGACAGAGTGGGAGGGAGAGAGAGAAAGAGAAACATCGATGTGAGAGAGACACATCGATTGGCTGCCTTCCGCATGGCTGCGACCAGGGACCGAACCACAACCGAGATACGTGCCCCTGCCCGGAATCAAACCTGTCTCTTTGGTCCACGGGCGATGCTCTACCCCCTGAGCCAAACCAGCCAGGGCATGACCCATTATTTTTATCTCACACCCCCACTTGCTGACACCACTGAGTCAGCAGATCCTGGAGAGTCCAGTTGCCCCACCAATCAGAAAATGAATGATGTATGTTTATGGTCTTGTTTACCTTGTCAACGTAAGACATATTCAATTCCATAAAGAATTTTTGTGAGTTTATTTGAGCCAAACTGTTGACAATTGCCAGGAAGCAAAATCTCAATGGACAGAGATAATGCTCCAGAGAATGGCAGTTTTGCACCTTATTTTATACGTTATAATCAAAAGAGAAGATACAAGTGGTGATTAACTAGGGAGGCAGGAGAAAGCAAAGCGGGGAAACCTCTGGGATTAGATGAAAAGTAAGATGATAGACACAAACATCTTTCACATAGGTGGGTACAGGATGGTTAACAGTCAACAATTAGCTCCGCAACAATGACGGGATCTGTGGTCTCTGCAGAGAGGTGTCTGTGCTTTGAGGGCTCCGGAGAAAGGAAAATTACTTTGACATTCCAAAGATATGTTATCATAGATGCAAAAAGACAACAGGCTTAGTTAAGGTAAAGATTGACTTATGTCAGGGAAGATGCCGGTCAAGGACATGACTACCTGCCATAAACTTCTTTTAGTCAAAAAGCTTTTATTTCAGACCATCCATTGTGGCTATTTTAGGTCTCTGTTTGCCAGGTCGCCACGCAGGCTTTTCAGGTTAGCAGGTAGCCCCTTTCCTCCACAACCTAGCAGCCCTTCCCTTTGACTCTCACTTTTAAAATTCTTGCCTTGTTCTTTCCACCTTAGAGCATGTCTCTGGTTATGCTGAAGGCTATCTTCTCCGACTTGCAAATCAGAATAAAACTCTCTTAATTCCTCAGAAGATTCCTGTGGACTTTCATTTACACACTTGAGGAATTTCAAAAAATACACGTGGCTGAATGCCCTTCCAGGACGTTCTAATGGGGGCTGGGCACGTGCCCATGAAAAGCACCCCGGGTTGGTTCTGAAATGCAGTCTCTGATCCAGAAATCCAGTGACCAGCACTGGGAAATCAGTCAAGAATTTTCATTTCTTAAAATCCTACTTATACCAGTTTCTTTCATTCAATGAATATTAACCAAGTGCCTTCTCTGTTCCAGGCTCTATGTCTGGCATGGCTTGACTCCATGCTAAAATCAAATGATGAAAGTTTCTTGTTTTAATTTTAGTTTGTCTTCTGTTGGCTGAAGAGAAGAAAGACAATTCACCTTCATCTAAACTGGACCATTTAGAACCTTAAAAGAACTTTTCTCAAATAGATTTCCAGTGCATGTTTTGTATATCCTATAGGAGTTCTTGAACAGCAGCATCCAAAAAGGGCAATTTCATATAAAAAGAGATACTTGTGATTTATAATAACGTATATATTTGGTCTTCATTCCCCGTGTCTGGCACAGAGCTCCTAAGACTCTTGGAAAGTCCTCTGAGCAACAAAGATGTCTCTTGTTATGTTAATGAGGTGACTTTTGGACCACCAACATGAATTACAAACAACTAATCTGAATCTGTTTTAGGCAGATGCTTAAATTTCCCAGAATGCAACACAAAATACCTTGGCCTGGACAGAAACAGCAAAACTCAAGCAATTTATCTCCATGTCTGAAAAACCCCAAACTAAGCTCTGGGGTACAGTAAACCTTGTTAAATGACAGAGGGGTGTCATTTGGATATGCACTATTTTTATTTATTTATTTTTTGAAATAATATTTATAGATTTCAGAGAGAGAGGAAGGGAGAGGGAGAGAGAGATAGAAACATCAATGAGAGACAACTGACTGGGCATCTCCTGCATGCCCCCCACTGGGGATCGGGCCCACAACCTGGGCATGTGCCCTGACTGGGAATTGAACCAGCAACCTCTTGGTGCATGGGTCAATGCTCAACCATTGAGCCACACCCGCCGGGCTATGCACTATTTTTAAACAGAAAGAACAGCTGAATTAAACTGCCTCAGCAGTGTCATCCAAGGGGCTAACAGAATAGAGTCCAAGTGTTGTCCGTCAATTGTTATTGGGAAATGGCTTGGGATGACCATTCACAGGGAACAATGACACAAGTTTTGAAAATCAATAAATTGATTTTAGGGCAAAATGTACAATAAACTAAAAGAACAGAAATCAACTTCTCAAGAAGTACTGTATCATTTACATGTCCTATTACTAAAAGCTGTCCACCATAGAATTTTATTTATTTATTTATTTTTATTGATTTTAGAGAGAGGGGGAGGGAGAGAGAGAGAGAAATAGAAACATCGATGAGCGAGAACATTGATTGGCCACCTCCTGCATGCCCCCCACTGGGGATTGGTCCCACAAGCTGGGCATGTGCCCTGACCGGGAATCAAACAGGTGACCTCCTGGTGCATGGGTCGATGCTCAACCACTGAGCCACACTGGACGGGCCACTATAGAATTTTAAGATTACATGCCATACATTGCTACATAGAGAACATGAGTATATGCAACCATTACATAGATGTACATGTATATATGTTGATCCCTGGGAATTATCAACAATTATTAAGGGACCAGCAAAGAGGAACCAATTGAAAAGAATGGGTAGAGCTAGAAGAGATAGAAGCCAAGAAGGAGTTCCAAGAAAAAAAGTACTCAACAGGGCTCAAAGCAGGAAAGAACTCAGAGAGAAGGACTAAGAAGTGTCCAGTGGATTTGGCAACCAGAGTCACTGGTGACCTTGACAAGAAAAATTCCAGTAGATTGTTAAAGGCAAAAGCTGCTTTACAGAAGGTTAAGGAAAGAAAGTGAAGCATGAAAACCTTTCAACATTGCATCCATTCATTTATTTATTTATTTATTCTAATAAATGTACTGAGTGGCTACTGGGTATACACCGGCAGTTGGTTCAGAAGGGGAGAATAGAAAGAGAACAAGTTGAGGCTTAAAATTTTTTCCTAAGTACTTAGAGCTCTATTGGCCTATGACACATTCAGTGTTGGTTCACTCATGTGTGGTTTACATATATGATATAATACAAACTGTTGAAAACTATGAACAGAAGATGAATTAAGTGATAAATACTCAGTACGGTACAAGCCTTAGGTAAAATCTTCGCAAGCGAGTACAAACGAGTCATGATTTACCCACTGAGGATAATTTCTTCTTCACTCAAGATCACCCATTCCCTGCAGCTGAAGATCGGGATCCTGAAGTCGCCTGGGGCATTTCTGCAGCATCAAATGGTAGCTTCTCAAAATGAAACTCCTTCCACTTTGCATACAGTCTCTGATTTCCAGTTGCAACATCCTCCACAACAAAACTTTCAATTTTTATAACTGGGATCTCAAATGTCTTATACTTCACATGGATTCCCCAGTCATGGCTGCAGTCCTGTCTGGCACAGAATATCTTTGCTTTTTTCTCAAAAATCCCCACATTCTTTGGTTTGGGGTGTGATTTACTCACAAAGCGCTCCCTGAAAGCATCTCCAACCACAGTGTAATGGCTTTCCTGTAGATGAAGGGGTTGAACATACAGAACAGGATGTTAGAACTGGTTCACAACTGTGATTAAAAAAAGAAAATTCCACAATAGTCTGAGATGAAGAGCAGTGGGATCCCACTTATTTTACAGATGGGGAAAAAAGGAAATATGGATTCACCTGAAGGCCAACCCAGAATCCATGCAGCCTGACTCCCAATTACATGGGCAGAAGTGAGGGTCGGGGTGGAGGGGTAAGTGAATTGATAGTGGACATCTCATTAACAGGAGGACTAAGAAGTTTCCAGGCAACCTAGCTTCTTAATAGATACTCTTTATTAATTCAGATACAAAAGGGGCATTTGTTGCAGATCTGTGAAGCCCGAGGTCCCCAGTGGCTGGACAGGCATAAGCCAAAAGATATAGGGAGAAACAAAAAAGGGTCAGTGTGGATCTGAACAGGGTCAGGGACGAATGTGTCCTCAGGCCCCACCTACAGCCAATTTTAGAGCAAACCTGAAAAAAGTCACACAACACAGAACAAGATCCAACAGACCACTCCCTCAGGAAAACGTAGTCTAAAAGGGCCACCTTCAATAGGAAAATCACCCAGCTGAAAGGATCTTTTACAGCTAACGAAGCAGACTCAGAAAGGTCTGGGAACGTGCCAGTACCACCCCTAATATGCTTCCTGCTCAAACAGTCAAAGAGATCAGAGACTTCAGCTTTCTGAACACCAACCAGAACCCTAAAGCCATCACTCATCATCTGGCCCAACCCAGGCAGTCCGCCCAACCCCTCCACTGGCAGCAGCTGAGTTATTTCCAACTTCTGTCTTTGGAGATTTTTCTAACCTTTTATCTAAAAGTTTTAAATAAATAAATAAATAGCCAAGCTGCAGACACTGTGTTTTAAAAATAAGGAGATATTTTGTTTATAAAAGTAATTCATATCCCGAAAAGAAAGTTTGGAAAACATAAAATAGTACAAAGAGGAAAAAAAATCATGAGAGTCTCCCTGTAAAATACTAATACATCCCTGTAGTCTTTTTTCTTTCTTTCTGGTCAATAGTGATAGTGGTATTGTTGCTATTATTTCACACAGCTATAATCATAACATATTTATAATTTTGTATCCTGGTTATTTTTTCCACTTTACCATTATTTTGTAAGGAGTTTTTTCATTATACTGTATAAACTTCATAACCATTTTGTTTAATAAACCTTATCTTGGAATAATTTTAGATTTATAATTAAGTTACAAATATAGTCCAGAGAATTCCTATAACCCTTCACCCACTTTCATAAATGCTAACATCTTACATACCACAGTACATTTGTCCAAACTACGAAGTTAATATCAGCCCCTTACTATTAACTAAACTACATATTTTACCTCTCTTCCCAGTAAAACCCTTTTTCTGTTCTAACATCTAATCTAGGAGACCACATTGCATTTAGCATAACCATTTTTTTAATGGCTACATAATAATTTACTAAGTGGCTGTGCAGCAGTTTTTTAAATGATTTCTTTATTGTTAAAATTAAGAGTTTTTTATTAACTTTTTAGCTTTTGTAAAATACATGGACCATGACATGGGTTTTAAGGAAATAATAGTATTCTTATTATAAATGTCTCACCAGTCACGCTACAAAGTGACCCAGTGTGCTTTGTGGAAAAGGCTGCTTACCTCTATCACTCTTATATCAGCTGTATAACATGCAAAGGCTTTGCACTTTCTGCAAAGCAGTTTTTTATTTTTCTTATCGAGTACAGGCTCTACTTTTCCTTTACAATCCCTGATTAATTTTTCATGAGTCTGGATCTGGTGAATCTACATGGGAAAAAAAGAAACACCTCATAAATGTAATTTAAGTATAACTAGGATACACACACACACACACACACACACATATATCATTCATTCATATCCACATATATGTACATTATTTATTCTGCTTTCATATACACTTCCATGAACATGTCGTACCTGGTGGCTTTCTAAAAATCCCATATATAATTTTATTGGTTCTCCCAACTCTTTGTTAGTCATGTTTAACTATGGCCTCCAATTAGTCTTTTATTTTATTTTATTTTTTTGTTAATCCTCACCCAAGGATATTTTGCCATTGATCTTTAGATAGAGTGGAAGGGAGGGAGGGAAAGAGAGAGAAACATTGATGTGTGAGAGACACATCAATTGGTTGCCTCCTGCGCATGCTCCACCTGGGGCCAGGGACTGAACCTGCAGCTCAGGTACATGCCCTTGACCAGGAATCAAACCCGAGACCCTTAGTTCCATGGGCCCATGCTTTAACTGCTGAGCCAAACTGGTCAGGGCTCCAATTAGCCTTTTAATTTCCTCATCAGAGTTGCCCATAATAGCACTAAAGATGTCCATAAAATAGTCATGTGAACCATGCTCTCTACTTTAGTAGCTGGCAAACTTAAAATGTCCTTCACAAATAAACATATGATATGCACTGACTGTTTCAAACATAATTGCACCCACTTCCAGTGCATAAACCCATTGAATGGAACAGCAAGCAGAAGAGCCCCATCATCTAAATTCTTTGCTTCTCTCTCCTCTTCCGACCATGGAGAGTGCTGTCAAATTACAGTAAAGTTAAATGTATGTATAGTATGACTGCATTACATTTCAAATTTAGGCCGTGGCTAAGTAAAACTTTCGTTTATTTAAGATAAACATAAGACTCTAAAGGGCAAAGAGAGGGAGGCAGACCAGCTAGGAACCTCCGGACCCTAGGGAAGTTCCCTAGGTCTTGTTTCACCTCATATACCCCAGATTGGAGCTGAAGAAGCTGGCAGCCAGATATGCCTAAAGTCTTAACAAAAGCCTTCTCTCTCTGGTCAAAGGGCCAGGAAAGAGGCAGCCAAGAAAGACAGAAAACTTTTAGCCAATGACTATTCAACTCTGGCCAAACACCAAAGAATAAAACAAAACAAATGAAAAAAACTGTGACCCAACCTCCACCCAAAGGCCGAGTGGGAACCCTAGAGTTCCACTTTGCAGGGTCACAATGAAGCACCCCAATACTCCCACCTGGTGGTGTCACAGAAGGCCCAGTAGGGAGCCAGGACTTTCATCCCTGCTTAGTAGGCCCCCCTTGCCTATGGTGTCAGTGGAGACCATGTGGGGAGCCAGAACTCCACCCAGCAGTAACAAAAAGCCTCCCCCTCATTGGTATCAACATAAGCCGAATGGGAACCTAGACTTCTACCTCCACCTAGCAGTGGTGAGACGATGTCCCACCTCTTCTGCCAGAAAAAGCCATCTAACACAGAAGGTTAAACGAGATCCCAAGTCTCATAATATGAAAATGTTTGGGTTTTAATTAAAAAACCCAGAAAGATCTCAAACTAAATGACAAAAAACCCACGATCAATGGATGCCACCACTGAGAAGACAGATGTTATGATTATCAGAGAGATACTTTAAAGCTGCAATGATAGAAATGCTTCAATGAGTATTCATAAACACTCTTACAACATGAACAACTATAAAGGCTCAACAAAGAAATGACGTTACAAATGGAGTTAGCAGATGGGCCCAACAGCAAAATGGAGGGAACAAAGGAAAGAATTGGTGCACTGGAAAGTAAAACAATAGAAATTACTCAACTGGAACAACAGAAAGAATATAGAAAGAAAGAAAAAAAAAAGACTAGAGCTTCAGGGAGCTTTAGGACTATCAAAAAAGATCTAATATTTATGTCACTGGAGTCCTGGAAGAAGAGGAGAAGGAGAGCTGAGCTTAAAAAGTACTGGAAGAAATAATGGCTGAACACTTCCCAAACTGAACATAATGTAATATAAACTTATGGATTCAAAAGCTGAACAAATACCAAACAGATAATCCAAAGAAATCCACACCAAAGCACATTATGATTAAACTTCTGGAGACTAAAGACATAGAAAAAAATCTTAAAAGTAGCCAGAAAAAAAAAAAAAAGACACCTTACTTATATAGGAAAAACAATCTGAATGACAGCAGATTTCTCACCAGTGACCATGAAGTCCAGAAGGAAGTGAGACAATATTTTTTAAATGCTTAAAGAAAAAACTGTCAACCTGGACTCCTATACCCAATAATATATCCTTCAAAAATAAAGGGGAAATCAAGACAATCTGAGAAACTAAAAGAATTTGTTCACCAGTGGAATTTCCCTAAAAGAATGGCAAAAGGAAGTTCTCTAAACAGAAGGAAATGATAAAAGGAGTCTTAAAACATCATAAAAGAAGGAAGACCATGGTGCTTTCCAGTGTCAGCCGGCTGTAAAACAATCCACCCCGTCTCACTGGTTCATAGTGCTGCCTCTCTTTCATCAGACGGTATTTTCAAGTATTCCAGGTGGAATCAGAGAGCTTAGGTGCAAATCCTGTTCTACCACTTAGCAGCTGTATGATTTGGGGCAAATGCCTCAGTTTCCTAAAATACGAAATGGGAACAATTACAGCACTACCTTGTGGGCTGTTGCGGAGGTAACATGAGTGAAGGACCACCTGGCACAGGCTTAATGCTCGTCAGTGGTATCCTTGGTCTGTTAGGCTAGTCTTATGCTAAAAACCATGAAAATGTTAATGACCGTGATTTGTACTTTAGTAATGGGTTAGGGCAATCTCCATTCATCAGTTATCTTTTCAGAAATATCATAGCAATTTTTATCTATTTACTCTTTTATATAAACTTTGAAACCATTTTATCAAATTGAAAATACTTTGATTCTGGGTTGCAATAAACCTCTAAGTGAATTTGGAGTAAATGCACATCTTTAAAATATTCAGCCATTCCATTCAGGAGCATAGCATATTTTTCTTTTGCCTTAATTTATCTCATATCTCTCAGTAAAAGTTTAATAGTCATCATTATTTATTCTTCAAACATCTCTGGTTAGGCCAGTAGCTAAACAGATGGGTTCTGCCAGCTCCACCCTTAACTAACCATGTGGTCTACTGCCACTGAAGCTCCCACACCTGTTTCCCTCCTATAAAATCACAGAAGGGGCTCTACTGCAGGACTTGGTGGAGAATCCATGTTCTGTATGTGTGAGTTACAATGAGCAGAAATTCAGTGAACATTACAAATGAAGAAACTGATGATTTAAAAGAGTAATGACCTGAGGTCACATCTTGTAAGTGGCATGGAACCAATGACACTAATGTTAAAGGTCTCCTCCAGCCTGCAGTGTTCAATGCTTCCGGGATAGTCTGAGATGGAAATTTCTGCAGAGTCCGGAGAAAGTGTGGGTATGCATACATGTGTGTGTGTGTCCGCGTGTGTCGATTTTCCCTCATATATGGTTCCATGCTTCTGAATGATAAAGGAAATTATAAAATGAAGGTTACCACCAAGAGGCTGAATTGAACAGGTGTGCCACTCCAAAGTATACAATATTATCCATACCTACAGTTAGGCATTCCAATACCTCTACAGTGCAATGGGAGCTTTTCTCTGAGGACTGTGGATGTTGGAAAGAGAGATCTGAGGAAAAACCAAGAAGGACTATGTCTTGTAATGGTAGGGTGTTGTCCTCAAGATAAACAATCACTTAAGCATGATTCTAGCACAGTCTGCCTTTTAGATCTAAAAACACAACTTTAGGTATTAGCATGAATACAATATATTTTAATATCATTGAAACTTAACAGCAGAATGAATTTGATGTTCTTCACTGCAGGATAAATTTTTAAGCTTAAACTTTTTGTTCTAATGCAACACACAGCCATCTGATAAAAGGTACCGACCACGCTCACGTCCCCTATCTGTTACTTATGGTCAGATTCTGAATGAGTAGCACAGATGAGAAGACTTACCTTTTTTTTAAACACTGCTTCATCCCATGTCTGAAGGCTTGAAATGGAGTCATTCATCATTTTTTCTTTGTATATGTTTATTTTTTCTTTTTCAATTACATCAGCATTACTAGTCAGAAGGAAGCACTTGCTACCTCTTGCTCTTCCTCTGCCTGTCAGAAAATAAACATTTCACTTGGTGTCTTTGACTTAAAACTCTGATAAGTCTGAGAATAGATAAGCAAAGGGAAAGGGGTGTCCCTAAAATTCAACTCTGGTTCACTGACTCCAGAGAAGTCAGTGACTTCCAGGGAAGCAGAGCCGTAGGAGATGCGCAGACTCGGAAGCAGGTGCACACCTGCGCGTTAAACACACAGGTGAACTGGGAGCCCACCTCAGACTGGCATCCTCTGAGTGTCCAGGCTACAATGTGATCGGACAGCCACATCATCAGAAACTCTGCTTTAACTACAGTCCAGCGTGAACCCTCAGATGACACCATGAGGGCTCTAAGGTGAGGAGTAACAGATCCTCCCTCAGGAGCCTTCTAGGAAATGGGGAAATGAGCTATGTTCACAACCCCCAGAATGCAGGTGGAAAATGAGGAGCTCTGAAAGATACAGAGTCACGATGTTCAGGACAGAGATGCCTGCCGGCTGGGGGAATCCAGGACAGGCGATGTGGAGGTGGGGAGAGGTGAACGATCCTCACGAGCAGTACATGAGCCATTCCCACAGCAAGGGAAAAGGAGGAATTCAGGTTGGCTGAAGTGAATCATGAATCAAGGGAAGAAAGAGAAACAAGGTTAGAAAGATAAGTCGGTGCTGGATCTGAAAACTCTATAACATCATGAAAATTAGGGAACCACTGGAGTTTCTATACAAGGAAGTGACATGCTCAGAGCTGTTTTCCAGGGAAAGTAATGTGGCAGCTGTTGTTACGGAAGAGAGACTGATGAGGAGACTCTAGTTCAGGTGAGACGGAAGAGCTCTTTGGATACAGGGCCCACAAGCACCACGAGCACAGCCGGGAACGGTACACATTGACTGCCAATGTCTCAACCCAGTGGGGATTATCCCTCCAAAAATACGTTAGTCGATGTTGGTCAAGTACACAGTTTTCACTGTAACAAGAATTAAAACAGTGGACAAAACTGTAGCTGCCCAATCTTGGCCAAATTAGCCACCTTTAGGGCAGTAATACCAGAGTCCACTGTGCCATTGGTCACACACACAAGTAGGACTCAGTAAAGGAGAAAGGCTGAAATGACAGACACACCACACATCAGATAAACTGGCAGACATTTTATAAGGGTGTCAAAGCTTCTCTCACCTCTGGTTTGGATCATTTTGATGACATTGCCCACATACTCATACAGGATGACCAGATTGCACTGAGCAATGTCAATGCCTTCGTCAGCAACGGAAGTGGCAATCAGAATCTTCTTATCTCCACTGGCTCTGAACGCATCCAGGACAGTTTTGTGCTCAGTTAGGGTCATTCCTGGGTCAGGCAGAGGGCATGATATAACTCATCAGAGGCATTTTACCCTTGAAAAAATAGCTATCCATTAGGAGTGCTTATGTCATGCCAGCTACTGTGGCACATGCTTTATAGTCATGATCTCCCAACAACCCCAGGCAGTAGGGCCTATTCCTATCATCGCTGTTGAGAGGACACGTAGGGTGGTGACAACTTGGACTCTGAGTTCAAATCCCAGCAGCAGCACTTACTAGCTGTGTGACTTTAGTCAAGTTGTCTCAAAACAAATATTGACTTGTCTTTCAAAAATATAACTGATCGTAATGGCTCTGCACGTGTACAGGAGTTCCCAGCTGACAAAACATCTTCATTACTTACTCCCCGGAACTTCACAAAGCCCTCTTAGGTTGCTGAGGCTAGTGTGATTCCTTCATAGGTGAAGACCTTGAGGCTTTAGAAGTAGGGTAAACTGACAATCTAGCTCCAGCAGAGTCAGGCCCTGAACTGCTAAGTCTAGGACCCTTATACTGTGCAGTTCTCAGCCATTGATATACTGAGAGGACAAAGAAATTCAGTGACCTCCACGTCAGGGTTAATAGCATTTATAAAAGCTCCATTTTTTCCTAGTATGTTGGCAGTCAAAACCTTGAGATATATTCTGTGAAGGCCAAAACAACTTCCTTTCACCGTTATCTAAGGAACGAGGAGCATGACTGACAGACGCCATACTTCACTAATCGCTGAACGTCTTTATCCAGGTGTTCATCAAACACTCATTCGGCAGTATGGTTGGTCCGATAAGGATATAATGGGCAAAGGTCCCCTTTTATGTACAAGGAGCTCAAAGTTTGAGGAAGAAGGCAGCAATAGGAAGCTATTATTTCACATGAGGAGCAGTGAAGTGAAGGTAGAACCGGACGCTGCGGGGCCGTGGTGGGGGTGGGGAGGCTGCTTGGCAGAAGTGTGATCCCTGGTACAGAGTCAGCGCTAAAAAAATGTGGATGGATGGATGAATACACGAGGAAACAAGTAAGAAAATATTTTCTGAGGGCGTATTTGTGGGGAAGTAACCAAGCTGGAAAATCAAATTGGACTCATGTAGAGTCAGATGGTGGAAAACTTTGAATTCCAACCAAATAATGTGGTGTTGGACTTATCTGGGAAGCCAAAGGTTTAAAATCTGAATTTGCCCTTCAGATTCATGGAATTTAAAACTTGTATAAGGGGGAAGTACAAGGGTGATGACTCACAGGGTGGGAACTGCTTATCATACACAACACTAAAGAGGAGGAATAGCGTGAGGACCTGTCACGGCTGGTCACAGAGGCGAAGCAGGGCTGTGAGAAGGTCAGGTGAGGGCTGGCCACCGAGGCCCCTGCTGGATGGTACCAGAGGCAGCCTTCCACCCTCTGACCAGCCTCGCTAGAGTTCAGGACTATCTGCTTGGACTATATTTTAAATTATAAAATACATAATACCCACCAAAGCATCTACAGCTTAAGGAACAATAAACTAGAAACAGAACATTTCTATTTCCAGTTAATCTACTGGTTGAGCAGAAGTAATATGCTCAAACAATATGTAAAAAAAAAACAAAAACTTTGGTTTTGTGTGCAGGACATATGGGAGGAGGCAATGTCTACGAGTTTTTGGCATGTGGGCACTGTGATGGCCTTTTGATGTGTCAACTTGGCTAGGCTGAGCTATAGTCCCCAATTATTCACTTAGGCACTTCTGTGAATGGAATTTGCAGATGTAATTAAAGTTCCTAATCGGCTGACATTAAGTTAATCAACAGAAGCTTCATCCTCGGTGGGCCTGACCTAATCAAGTTAGCCATTTAAAAGAGAATATATGGGTCTGGCTGGTGTGGCTCAGTGGTTGAGCGTTGACCCATGCACTGAGGTCGCCAGTTTGACTCCTGGTCAGGGCACATGCCCAGGTTGTGGGCCCAATCCCCAGTGCAAGGCATGCAAGAGGTGGCCAGTTGATGTTCTCTCTCATTAATGTCTCTTTCTCTCTCCTTCTCACTTCCTCTCTTTAAAAATCAATAAAGGAAAAAAAAATTGTAAAAGAGAATGTATGGCCCAGCTGGTGTGGCTCACTGGTTGAGCATCGACCCATGCACCAAGAAGTCACCACTTCAATTCCCAGTCAGGGCACATGCCCAGGTTGTGGGCCCAATCCTCAGTGCGGGGCATGCAGGAGGCGGCCAATCAGTATTCTCTCTCACTGATGTTTCTATCTCTCTCTCCCTCTCCCTTCCTCTCCCTCTAAAATCAATAAAGAAAAAAAAAATGTAAAAGAGAATATACGTAGGCTCTGGCTGGTTTGGCTCAGCAGTTAAAGAGAGTTGACTCGTGGACCAATTCCGGTCAAGGCCATGTACCTCGGTTGCGATTCAGCCCTGGCCCTGATTGTGGTTGTGCAGGAGGCAGCTACTTGAAGTGTCCCTTTCACGTCGATGTTTCTCTCTCTATCTCTTCCTCTCTCTCCCTTCTTCTCTCTCCCTCCTACACCATCTGAACAAAAAAGCGGAGGAGTATCGTCGGGTGAGGAATAAAAAAACAGAGAGAGAATGAACATAAATGTTTCTTGAGCTCAGGGACTCCAAACAGCTCATGCCTGCAGATTTCAGACTTGCTTTGCCAGTACAATCGTGTATGCCAATTCCTTGTAATAAATCCATCTGTGTATATACACATATATATGTGTGTATATATATAATCTCCTATTGGTTTTGTTTCTTTAGTTGAACCCGACTGATACAAGCATTAAAAAAGGAATTGAATTGATTATATATATTCTTATATATAGTATACCATATATAAATACCTATGTCCTGATTTGTTTTGCAACGTCCAGTCAATATGCCAGGTTTTAGAAAGCTGAGTTTAGAATTTTCCTCCATCCATTTCTTTAAAGCCTGAAAATAAAAAGCATTTATCAGTTGGACCCTATTTGTATTAATTCTATATTAATTCAACATTGACAGTTTTGCAAGAAAAAAAAAATTTAAGTTAGTACCCAGACAGTTTCAAACTGATAAAGCTAAGAAAAAATGCTTCTTGGAATTGAATTCTATACAATAATTAACCATAAAGGTATAGATCTTTGTGATCTGACATGGTTTAATCTATAAGATATTTTTAAGTGATAAAAGCAAAGTTCAGATTGAAAGTGGGTATGTAGAACTAAAAAGTGAGTTCAGCAAGATCAGCAAGATTTCTATATATAGAAATCAGTTATATTACTATATACCAACAACAGTTAAAAGTACCATTGACAATAGCATTAAAAAGTAATACATAGGTATAAGCCTAACAAAATGTGTGCAGAATCTGTATGCTGAAAACAACAAAACACTGATAAAAGGAACCGAAGAAGATGTGGTTGTGGCCTCTAAGGGAGCCCTCAATGATCCTGGTGTCCTCTCCCTCCAAGTGTGAACTGAACTTACTGATTTGCTTCTGATTAATAAAATATGACAGACATGATGAGATTTCACCTCAAAGTTGAAGTTATAAAATGATTATGAGCCCATATGAGGCATTCTTTCTGGACCTTCTGTGGGTCACTCACTCTAGGGTGACCAGCTGCCGTGCAGTGAGGCAGCCCTGTGGAGAGCCCACGAGCGCGCTTGGAAGCACATCTTCTGAGGCGGGCCAACCGTCACCTCAGTGGGGACTACAGCCACGGCCGACTCCTTGCTTACAGCCTCGTGAGACCCTGAGCCAGAAACACCCAGTTAAGTTGTTCCCAGCTTCCTGACCCATGGATCTTGTAAGATAATAGATGTCTGTTGTTTCTAGTCAATAAATTTTGGGGCAACTTGTTATCAGCAATACAGAGCCCATTATAAATGAAGAGATATATTATGGTCATGGATTGGAAGATTCACTATTATTAAGATGTCATTTCTCCCTAATTTTGTTTACAGAATCAGTGCAATCCCAAAAGAACATTGATAGAATCTATGAATCCCAGTAGACTTTTCGATAGATGTAGACAAGCTGATTCTAAAAGATAAATGGAAAGGCAAAGGAAGACAGCTAAGACAATTTTAAAGAAATGAAAAAGTTAGAGAACTCATACTAGCTGATTTCAAGACTTACCATAAAGCTATAGCAATCAAGACAGTGTGGGATGTATGACAATAAAAAATAGACAGTTTACTCCTGCCTCAACATAGATTGATCTCAAAAACATTATGCAAAAGAAATAAGTAAAATGAAAACAGTCACAAGGGACCATCTATTTTCTGGCTTTATCTACATGAAATGTCTACAATAGGTAAATCTATAAAGACAGAAAGTGATCAGTGATTATTTAGGACTCAGTAGAATATTTTTAATATGTTTCATTTCATTTAATTTTTAGAGAGAGAGGAAGGGAGAGAGAGATAGAAACATCGATGTGGGAGAGAAACATTGATTGGCCGCCCCCCGCACACTCCCCACTGGGGATTGAGCCTGCAACCCAGGCACGTGCCCTGACTGGGAATCAAACCGGGACCTCTCAGTCCATGGGACGGCACTCAGTCCACTGAGCCACTCCGGCTGGACAAGACTCAGTAGAATTTTTATGAGGAGTAATTGCAAATGAGTGGAGACTTTCTTTGTGGGGAGATGGAACTGTTCTAAAACTTGATTTTGGTGCCCTGGCTGGTTTTGTTCAGTGGTTAGAGCATCGGCCCGCGGACCAATGAGTCATGGGTTCGATTCTGGCCAAGGGCACGTACCTCGACTGCAGTTCATCCCCGGCCCTGGTCGGGGTCGTGCTGGAGGCAACCACTCGAGGTGCCTCTCTCACATCAATGTTTCTCTCTGTCTCTCTCTCTCTTCCTCTCCCTCCCTCCCACTCTATCTGAACAAAAATGTAAAAATGTCCTTGGATGAGGATTAAAAAAAAAAAATTAAAAAGAAAAACACAAAAACTTGATTTGGGTGATAGTTGCATTATTCTGTAAATACACTAAACAAAATAGTATTATATAATTTATATGGATGAACTCTAAGGAATGAATATTATATATCAATAAATCTAGTATAAAAAAACAAAAAGACAGTGTGGGATGGATGAAAGGACAGATGTACAGATGACTGAACAGAGTAGAGAAGCCAGAAATAGATCCACACAAACACAGTCAACTGATTCTTGAAAAAGTTACAAAGGCAATTCAGTGGAGAAAGAATAGTCTTCTCAACATACAGTGCTGGAACAACAGAGTGTCCACATACAAAAAGGAAAAAAAAGCATCTCAACCCATACCTCAAAATGGATTACAGCCCTAACTGTAAAATGTCAACTATAGAACTTCTTGTAAGACAACACAGAGAAGATCTTTGTGATCGAGGGTGAGCAAAGCACTTTTAGATACGATATCAAAAGCACAATCCACAAAAAGAAAAAACTGATTAACTGGACTTCATCAAAAGTTAAAGTTTTCAGTCTATAAAAGATCCTGCTAAGAGAATGAGAAGACCAGAAGAAAAACTTTCAAATCACATTCACTACAGAGGACCTTTTGTCAGAATATAAGAAGAATGCTCTAAAAACTCGACAGTAACATGACAAACAATCCAACTACATCCAATTTAAAAATGGGCAAAAGATGAGAACAGAGACTTCCCCGAAGAAGATGTATGGATGGCTAATGAGTATATGAAAAATTCTAAACGGTATTAGTCATTAGTCAAACGTAAGTTAAAACCTTAGTGAGATATCACTATGTACCCACAGAATGGCTCAAGTTTTTTAAATGGATGAAAAGAATAAAAAACACATAAAGGTATCAAGACATCATTATAAACTTAGAGTGATTACAACAGTGAAGAAAAACAATCTCTTCAATAAAATGGCACTAAGTCAAGTTGTCATCCACGAGGAGGAAGACGTTTACGTTCACAAGCGCTCTGGTTTTCACAAAGAGAATGGTTCTGGTCTCTGGGTTGAAGTGGTACTCCTCTTGCAGGATGAAGCACAGGTCTTTGAGTTTAGGGTTCTCATTGCTGGGATCCATGGAAATGCTCTCTAGTTCTTGCAGCTTTTCTGCAAAAGGAGAACGTTTTATAAATGACTTCTAAATTCTAGAAATTTGGAGCACACCATGACCTTCAGCTATAGTTCAGTTAATCTCTCAATCTTTGACCAGAATTTTATAAGTGATGACCACCGATTTAATGCATATATTAAATACACTCATAAATGCATATATTTCCCCCCAGAGAGCTGGTTGTTTAATGCTTAGCAGCACATCACTGGGTTACACATATGTTTAGTAAATACTTCGGTATAAGCCTCCCCCAAAATTATTAACAGCAAGCAATTACCTTTGGGGGAAAAATTGGGGAGAGGGAAAAGGAAGACTGACTTTTCATTTCATATCTTCCTATATTTTTCCTAATATGAGGGAAGTGGGATTATGGGCCATTTTGGTTTTCTTCTTTACAGAGAAGTATATATAAAATATAGTATTGTTAATATCATTAAAATACTATTTTTGTATTTTGTAAATCTTTATAAAATTACTAAAAGTAAAACCAAAATACGCTACTATCTATTAACTATTTCTATGGAATATATCCTTTGCAAATCCTACTATTTTTCCTTCTTCAAAATTGGAAATAGGGTAAGCCACAGATTTTTTTCCATAAAGTACCAGGTTTCACTAAAGGTTAAAGGTCCTGCCATCTATGACATTTTCTTAGGCCCGGGACAACTCTTATGCTACCACTGGAGTCACCAGGCTCCATGGCTTCCTCCTCTGGAAACACCACCCACCTTCAAATCTCCGAGTGAGATCTTGCTCAATCTCATCAAATCCTGCTGATCGGACATTACTGAAGAAATCTTTCAAGTAATCCAGAGCATCTTTTGTCCGTGCATGATCATTGATAATGAGGGCATCATTAAATTTCTGTTTAAAATGAAAACTGAGTTTCAGGGTATTTCTTTTTTTGTTTGTTTGTTTGTCTTTATTGATTTCAGAGAGTGAGGAAGAGAGAGGAAGAGGGAGAGAGAAATAGAAACATCGATGAGAGAGAACATCGACTGGCCACCTCCTGCATGGCCCCACTGGGGATCGGGCCCACAACCTAGGTATGTGCCTTGACCAGGAATCAAACTGGCAACCTCTTGGTGCATGGGTCCATGCTCAGCTACTGAGCCACACCAGCCAGGCAGTATGTATTTCTAATACCTAACACATTTGCCATACTCAAGTTCAATGAGCTATAACTTGGTATGTAATTCATTTTAAGAATAAACTTTTCTCAAATCTATTCCAACTTAGTTTTTTGTTGTTGTTGTTTTTTTTGTTTTTTGTTTTTATCCTCACCCGAGGATATTTTTCCATTTTTTGTACAGATAGAGTGGGAGGGAGAGAGAGGAAAGGAGAGAGAGAGAGAAACATCGACATGAAGGGACACATCGAGTGGCTGCCACCCGCACGACCAACCAGGGCCGGGGACAAACTGCAACCGAGGTACATGCCCTTGGCGGGAACCGAACCCAGGTCTCTCTGTACCGCAGGTCGACGCTCTAACCGCTGAGCCAAACCGGCCAGGGCCCAACTTAGTTTTTTAAGATGAACAGTCCCTAATGGTACTTAATAAAATCTTGGAATCAAATACTGTTTTTAAAAAAATCTCAATTAGCTGGAATCAATAATTAATTAGGACCACTTTGGATTCTAGAGGTTTATCTTGGAAGAAAAAGAAAATTACAAGGAAAATGCATGTCAGAGATTAAAAAAAAAAAAAAAGCAAATCAACTTCCATATCAATATGTCTCATAATTCAGACATTCAACTTAATCTCTTTATACATCATCTGAAGCCATCAATGAATTGCTACTGCACCTGTATCTAGGATAATGGCACTGACCACCTACATCAAATACTCAGTTAAGTTCACTAAAATTCTATAGATGCACACTGACTGAGTATACTCTAAAACATGTGTCTGTCTTCCTTGTGTGCACATGGCTTTATCAAAGGAAAGAAAACATGCCTCAGGACAGGGCGACAGGAGCAGCCTACTGAACTTTAAAGATGCTGTCGCCAGTCACGTGTCTACAACAATGTTCATCATCACCCAGTTTGTCCTAATCATGTCAACTATGGGAATCTGGAGGCACAGCGCAGACTCCCTTTTTCTCCATCCTGCTGCCTCCGGTGTTAAGTTTCACAAAGCAGACAAAAAAGATGTTGAATGGGATTACTTTTAGAATTTGCTTCATAGGAACCTTCTGGAAAATTCCTAAGGGTTCTGTTTAAGACAGAATGAAAAGTTGATGTTCTTTCAGCTGCCACAGTACAGCTCTCAGTAGATGCTACAACTAAAATATGCCTTTCCAGCCCTGGCCGGTTTGGCTCAGCAGTTAGAGCTTCAGCCTGCAGTCCACAGAGACCCAGGTTCGGTTCCTGCTAAGGGCATGTACCTTGGCTGCAGTTTGTCCCCGGCCCAGGTTGGGTCGTGTGGGTGGCGGCCACTCAATGTGTCCCTTTTACATCGATGTTTCTCTCTCTTCCTCTCTCTCCTTCCCGCACTATCCGAATTAAAAAAAAAAAGGAAAAATGTCCTCAGGTGAGGATAAAAAAAATTTTTTTTAAATATGCCTTTCCAGCCCTGGCCGGGTAGCTCAGTTGGTTAGAGCATCGTCCCAATACACCAAGGTTGTGGGTTCAATCTCCAATCAGGGCACATATAAGAATCAACCAATGAATGCATAAATTAGTGGAACAACAACTCAATGTTTTCTCTCTCTCTCTCAAATCAATAAAAAAATAAAATAAGAATATGCTTTTGCAAAGAAGCAACATACCCGCAAATGTGAAGTGTACAGAAACAGTGCCTTACAAATCCTGCTCTCTTTATCTTTGTCGGGCAGCCGTATCACCGTGCACTTCTTCTGAACTGTAACGATCCACTGTTCATATTTCTGTGTTCCAAAACTCCGGCTTTGAATTTGAGATAAGTTTTCTGGAAAGAAAGAGTTTTTCATTGTGCCATACATATGTCAGTCATTTAAGGTTCTAAGCATGCCTTACCCTCTAATTTTCTTTCCTCCCGAAATAGTCTGAGTTTTCAGCAGTCTGGGCTCTGTGCAGGGTGCTGGGGATAAAAGGATGAGGAAGACACAGCCCTGTTCTCCAGCAGCTCAGTCCGGGAGATACTCTAGGGGCAGTTAGTTCTCCACGGCTTCTCAGGAAGAGCACAGCACAATCATTCACAGGAAAGAGCTATGTGGGTTAACATGCTCCTCTTTGTTCATCGAAGGCACAAAGGAGGCTGTCCAGACAAGCGGCATTGACGTGCTTCTTTCCCAGCCCCAACTACAGCGGTGGTCAGCAGTAAACTAAATGAATCAACGGGTATTTATGGAACATGGACAGGCATGAAAATAAGCTAAGTTGGGGACAAGGGGTATATGGGAAATCTCTGTACATTCTGATCAATTTTGCTATGAACCTAAAACTTCTCTTGAAAACAAAGGCTGTTAAAAAAAACAAGCGAAGCAATCTAGAAATAAGCACTCGACAGGATTTGGGCTGGTGAAAAAGTGGAGGTAGAGTACTAGAGGTCGAAGGAATAAGAAGGTAGAAATTCAAGTCTCTCCATCCTTCTGCTCCCTCCCCAGTTCAGACCATGTCATAATGCTCCTGGATGACACCATGGCCTCCTAATTGGTCTCCCTACTTCTTGCCGTATCCTCTCCAATCCATTCCTCACTCAGCAGTTAGTTAGAGGGAGTTTCCAGAACGAAGGTGAGAGACTATGCTATCCAACTGCCTCAGAGCAGGGTCCTCGTTCCCTCCGCCTGAAACACACCTATTACCACCAACCACCCACCCCACCCCCTGTTGCTTTATTTTTATTACTCATTAATTTAGGCTCTACTGTTACAGTGGAAGTGCCATGGAGCAGGGGCTGTGTCTCAGGGTCCACACTGTATTCCCATCACCCAGCACACTGCCAACACTGAACGAGTGAATGACGATGTTCAGGGAACGGCTGAATCAAAGGACTAAGTAGGGAAGAAGTGGAAGGTAAAACTGGAAAGATGAGTAGAAACAGATTGTGCAGGCAGGCCTGGGACTGTCAAGTTAGAGACAGAGGGCTTTGCCTGTCAGGCGAAGGGATTCAAGCAGGACACTGACATGATGCAACTGGTACTTCAGGAAGACTAACCAGGCACTGGGGGGTGGGGTAAGGTGGGGAGGGGGTTGGATGGAGAAGAGAGTGAAAGTGCACAAACCAGCTAGAAGGCTATTAGAATAAGTCCTAAATCAAGCTGCAAAAGAAAAAGAAGTAAAACAAGTATGAGAGAAGGTGAGACACCATGAGATATCCTGCAGACATTAGACATGCAATCTTCAAAACTCTCAACTCGCCTTGTAGCTGCCAAAGCTGCTCCTAGTTCTAATCAGGACCACCCGCTGGCATACAGACAGGTGCCCAAGCCAGAAGCCTGAGGGGAAGTCTTCCACTCCCTTCCCTCTCACTCCCACTCCCCCCAAACCCAGTCAGCCAGGAGATCTGAACACTCCTATCTGCAGTGCTTTGGCAGTGCTTAGCCACCCCACCTCCACGGCCTCCGGCCCTCCTCCCTCACTGGTATCCTTATCACATCACTGATCAGTTTAAAATCTTCAGTACTGCCCACCTGGTGTGGCTCAGTGGTTGAGCATCAACCCATGCACCAAGAGGTTGCCGGTTCAATTCCCAGTCAGGGCACATGCCCAGGTTGTGGGCCTGATCCCCAGTGGGAGCATTCAGGAGGCAGCCAGTCGATGTTCTCTCTCATCGATGTTTCTCTCTCTCTCTCTCCCCCTCTCCCTTTCTTTCTCTCTGAAATCAATAAAGGGAAAAAAATTTTTAAATACAACTTCAGTAGCTTCCCATTGCTTTTAGGATAACATTTAAATTCAGCTTCGCCTACCAGGCCCTTCTTTATTTGCCCCCTGTCTCACCCTTTAGTCTTACTCTTTTCTACCACTCACATGTGAAAACTATCATGAAAAAATAAACATAAATAAATAAATAAATAAATAAATAAATAAATAAATAAAATTATCATAAAATGCTTGCAGTTCCTAAAACTCACTGTGCTCTCTCTTCTCTCGCTGCCTAATGCCTTTTGACCTCACTTAATTATCTCTCCTTCTTAACTTGGCTGACTTCAAGGCCTGTCTCAGGAAGCCTTCCCTGCAGCCCAGTCCAGTTCCCATGGGCTCCCACGGCACCCAGCATGTGACTCTGCCCTGTCCCCTGGCAACTACTCACACCTGCTTCCCACTGTTTGACCGAGAGCTCCCTAAGGGCAGGGACTATGTTTTTAATGTTGCTATTTCCATCTCTACCACAGTACCTGGCACAATAAATCTCTGGTGAATGAATGAATAGGTAAAAAAGAAGAACAGAACTTGGCGACCTCATGAGAGATTTTCAAAAGAAGAAAGATAAAAAATCAACCTATAGCCCTGGCCGGTTTGGCTCAGCGGTTGGAGCATTGGCCTGCGGACCAGACAGTCCCAGGTTCGGTTCCCGCTAGGGGCACATACCAAAAAAAAAAAAAAAATCAACCTATAGGTTTGAACCTGAGCCATTAGGGGGAATGGTGGATTCATTCATATAATAGGGAAGGCAGGACAGAAAGCTAACTTGAAAGGTAAAAAAAGCAATAAACTGATTTAAATATAATATTTTTCAGGTGTGTGTGTGTCCTGCATTTACTTTGGATTTTTTTTTAAAAAGGCAAGAAAAAATAAAGGAGGACTTAGGGTTCTTAAATAACCTACAATCAAGAAAGTCAATCTCTAGATAGGGACTTGACATTGTCTGAACTAAGGAGAATGCAAACAAACACTAATGAACATTATATGGCTATTCCCAAATGGAGAGGATAGAAAATGAGATTTATCTCACCGAGACTTACGGTACCAAGTTCATCAAAGGTGCTCCTTAACAGACTCTCTATCTCCTTCATCAGCTGAGAGATGGTACATTTAAATCTGTCGGTGGTTCGTGATCCCACTTTCCTGAAAACTAGAGCCATCAAAGGAAAATAAATATTTTTCAGGAAGCATTCGTTGGAGTTTGAAGTAAGCATCTTCAAATCTGTCTCTACTTTTGTTACTTCCTCTGTAAAACCTGAGGCGTCAAGTTCACAGGCAGCTCACTCAGATGATAAAACAAATGCTCAATAACCTCACAACTCCCTCACCCTTAATGCACTGCTTCTAACATGTCTACTGTGCTCTGGGTCTCCCCAGCTTCTCACTCTGGCTTTCCTGTTACTCAACACAGCCCCTGCTCTGAAGAGGTTGGTACCCAGCTTATTTCTGCAGATGCCACACTTTCTAACCGTCTCTGTTCTTTGATCCTTTCCCACTCACCCCTCAGGAGTGTCACACTGTTCCAAACATTCATTATTGCATTGTTTCAGCAGAAATGTATTAATTGCCCACTATGTGCCATGTTCTGGTGATAGACAGTTGAAAAAACACACTCCATGCCCCAGCGAGGTCTATGTTCTTAGGGGAGAGAAAGGTGCGTAGCCAAACCACCACAGTAGGGTGCGGTAACGTAAGTACGTGCAAATGCCGTGGAGCACAGGGACAGGAATCCCGAATCCTTCCCAGGGAGGCAGCGCCCCGAAAGAAACTTGACCACCCCGTTCTCTGACTATTTCATGTGGGTCTGTTCTGCCTTACCCAGTCACACACTATTCAGAGAGCAAGGGTGACATCCTATGTATCTGCTCTCCCTTGCTGAATTAGTATAGCTTTGGTATCCAATAAACATTTGTTATCAATCTTATAGAAAATGATATTCTGATCTTTTGAAGTAAGGTATGATGAATTCAGATAATTTCAACCAAAATTATCACGTAAATATTGAAATATCCACACAATATCCACCTCAGGCAGGGAACACGGGGAAGGACAGAGCCCAGGTCTTAGCCATGTTCATGCTTAGATTTTCTTAGCACCTCTCTCTCTCATTATTATTATCTCTATAAGAGTTTAATGAAAATGAAAAATAAGACTGTTTGCTTTCTACAGGTCATTCCTAAGGTTCGTACATTGCTTAGGGAAAGAGCTCAGTTGAGGAGAGAGGCCAGAAACATGACTATTTTCCAACTTTGGGGTTAAATATTTTCTACTAAACAGAGAAAGTATAAAAATTTAGTGTTCATCCAAATGGCTCTGAGCTGGGAATATCAGAGGATAACAAAGTCTCAAAGGGCTTGTTATTGGAGCCCACTCACACTTCTGGGGCTTATAAACAGTTTCCTCCAATTCCTTCAAGTTGTCTTTGACTGTTGCCACCACTGATGTGTCAAGAGACGCACACAGCTTGCAGATATATTCCATGGCTTCGGTTGTGTTTTTGGCATCCCCAACACCCACTGAGGCAGTCAGTCCAATGACCTGTGAATAGCATTCCAAACCATTAGATGTCTTGGAAAAGCATGACATTTCCACAACCCTTCATGTAACTCTCTCCTGCTAAAGTAGGCTTTTCCCCTAACTTTAGGTAAAGAACAAGAACATTTTCCCCCAAAACTCTCTGTGACATTGCAAATGGAAAGGTCCTTATTGAGCAAAGCAATGAATAAATGCAGAAGTCACAACCCATGAGCTGAACACATTTCAGCACAGAACCGAAGACAGGAACCCTTTCAAGGCAGGGCTTCTCTCTTCTCTACCCTTGTGTCCCCCATGATGTGTAGAACAACAGACTGAGAAGAAGGACTGAAGTCAGGCACACTTCCATTCTGGACTGTGTATTCTTGGACAAGCATCTTCCACTCTCTGTAAAGCTAGGTTAATAGCTATTTTAAATGGTAGCTGTGTGGCCCTGGCCGGTTTGGCTCAGCAGTTAGAGTGTCGTCCTGCAGTCTAGAGAGACCCGGGTTCAGTTCTCGCTAAGGGCACATGCCTCGGTTGCGGTTTGTCCCCGACCCTGGTTGGGTCTTGTGGTGACAACCGCTTGATGTGTCCCTTTCACGTGGATGTTTCTCTCTCTCTCTCTCTCTTCCTCTCTCTTCCTCCCACTCTATCTGAACAATAAATAGAAAAATGTCCTCGAATGAGGATAAAAAATAAATAAATAAATAAAATGGTAGCTGTGTGAATTTAGTAAGATAATATTTATAAATAATTTAGGTTAACAGTCACCTAATATTTGTTTCTTCCTCCAATATCCTCTCAATAAATATTGAATAATTGACTCATTACTAAGGAATCTAGTTAACTACCAATTTTTGTTTCTAAAATAAAAGGGTGTAAGAAATGTGATTGCTACTGAACTTTTTCTATGGGCACCATACTGAATTTCTTCTATCCTGTTTCCTAAACAGGTCATAGGGCTAGAGAACTTTACACAAATGTGAGACTAGTATACTATAAATTCATAATTTCCAACTTCATTTGAGCCCTCAACATGACCAATCAATTCTTCTGTGTATTAGTTCTCTCTCTCCCACTTCAAATCCTCTCTGTGCACCTTCCATTCCCTTCCTGATTATTCTCTGCAAACCATCTATCTACCTCCGCTACATTCAAGAGAACAGAGGAGCTATATGCCAATTTCCTTACCCTTCCTGCTCCCATCTAAGAACTACTCTCTGTCTTGACTCTTCTCACCCCCTCCCCTCTGATGACACCAAAAATAACAAAAATGGTTATCCACCTGGTCTCCTGTACCAATCCATCTACCTGCCTGTGCATCCCAAACATCTGGTCTCTCCTGGCATCTTGTTCTATCAATCAATCATTCACTCTCTCCTGCTATTCACTATTTCACACTCTACACTCAAGTGATATTAAAAAACTTCAAGATTATTGAGCACACTATGTTCTTTCATCCCTCTGCACCTCTGGACACACAGTAGCCTTTACTGAAAACCACCCAGCTATCTACCTTGCAAACTCTTGTTAGTTTTTTTCCTAACCTAACTTCAGTTAGGTCTTGCCTTACTTCATAGCACACTGAGGAGCTCTTTCATTTCTGTTCTGATTGCACCATGTACTCATCTCCATAGTGAGCCGTCGATAAATTATGACATAATTCTTACATATTTGGCTCCCCATGAAACTTCAGCTGCTTTAAAGCAAGGACTATGTCTTTCAATATTTGTATCCCCAGTGCTTTGCACAGTGCACAGAGGCACTTGATACATACTTGTCAAGTGGATACATGAATGAATGAATCAAGTTTAATCAATGAGTTATACAGTCTGGACTTAGGACCTGAGAAGGGTATCCTCACTGTGGCATAAGAGTAAGTCAATAGGATTTAGGAAGGCCTTAGCTCTTCCAAGGAGTCCATCTGACTTTGCAGATACCTGGGGCAGTGGATCTGAAGATCCTCCAAGTTTCTGATCTAGATAATGAAACATGATCACATTGTAAGGATGGAGTTTATTGGTGTTGTGGCATTCATCAAATATCATCAAAGTAAAGACAGACAGTGACGGAATAGTTCCATTTCTAAGGCTGTTCACAAGAATCTGTGGTGTTAAAATGATGATGTCATTGTTCTCAACAATATGTTCCACTGAGATATTCTCAAATGTTGCTCCAGAAATGCCTGCAATTTTGTACCTGGAAAATGACAGAAACTGCCTATTACCAACCACAGTGTGAATAAGAAACACAAAGATATGAAACACTAGATCAGAACATTAATTAATCAATTCTCCCTAAGTCTAAAAGGAGACAAGTTTTGCCCGGCCGGTGTGGCTTTAGGTCACAGGTTCGATTTCTAGTCAGGTCCCAGATTGTGGGCTGGATCCCCAGTAGCAGGTGTGCAGGAGGCAGCCAAACTATATTTCTTTCTCTCTCTCTCAAATCAGTAAAAACATCCTGGCCTATGTGGCTCAGTGGTTGAGCATCAATCCCTGCACCAAGAAGTCGCCGGTTCGATTCCCGGTCAGGGCACATACTCAGACTGCGGGCCGATCCCCAGTGAGGGGTGTGCAGCAGGGAGCCCATTGATGTTCTCTTTCATCAATGTTTCTATCTCTCTCTCCCCCTCTCCCTTCTTCTCTCTCTAAAATCAATAAAAAAAGATAGTTTTAAAAAAATAAAGTAACTATTTCAAAATAAATAAATAGATAAAATAAAATAAATAAAAGCCTAAAATAAAATAAATAAAAGGCTTACACATAGTGAGTGATCAATAAATGCAAGCTAGTTAAAATTTCTAGGAGTACATAATAATACTTTCAAGCCACTAAGAAAGAAAATAGTACTTAAAGAGTAATAGTAAATAAATCATGGAATCTTTAGAAAGTTAAATGTGCCAGTTAAGTGTAAAACTTATCTCTTAAGTCATGTACTTATTCTGCAAGAGCTAAACAAAGGAGTTTAAGATTTCATGTATAGCTAACAAAAAAGACTTGAATCCCATAGGAATTACATCTAGATTATATAAAAGCTGAATCTACTATACATTTTTTTTTATCCTCACCCAAGGACATTTTTCCATTTTTTGTTTAGACAGAGTGGGAGGGAGAGAGAGGAAGAGAGAGAGAGAGAAACATCGATGTGAAAGGGACACATTGAGTGGCTGCCACCCGCACGACCAACCAGGGCCGGGGACAAACTGCAACCGAGGTACATGCCCTTAGCGGGAACCAAACCCGGGTCTCTCTGGACCGCAGGCTGACGCTCTAACCGCTGAGCCAAACCGGCCAGGGCTCTACTATACATTTTTTGAATCATGGTTTTTCAAAAACAGAACAAAGCATAAAGCACAACAATTACATAAAGCTAGAGAAAAAGAAGTTGGAACAACTGTTACACTTACCCATGTCTTTCGAAATATTTTAAAAACACTGATTTTTGCTGTTCATATACTGGGAGTTGATTAGAAAAAAATACAACCTTTCCCTTTTGTCCTTGTGGAAACTTTTGAAGATGATTTTCACATATAAGAAGTGCAACAAAGGTTTTTCCACAACCTTTAACATATAAAGAAAAAGAAAATATGTAACTAATATCATGGTAAAATATTTCTGTGGAAGGGTAACTATCTTTGTCTCTCCTAAAACCACGGGGTGAACTAGGAAATTGGGAATGTGGATGGGTTAACAACAGCAGAATTTATACCATGACTAAAAAATATAAAGCTACTTCCTAGGTAATATGTACTCAAACAGTAGGGGCCTAAAGTAAGCTAAAAGATGGCATTTTTCTTTCCCCTGTGTTCTTTAAAATACCTTGAGACTATATTAATGAATAGGATGGTTTTCTCAAAAGACAAATGGAACAAGAAAAAAACAAAAACGTGCCCATTTCATCCCAGTACTCAGTAAAGAGGAAAAAAGGAAAGCAGAGAAACAAACCATATAAGTACTGACAATCAACTTACCAGTTGGAGCACATATTATTGTATTTTTTCCTTTTAAAGCAGGAAAAGCGAGCTCTAGTTGGTAATTTCTTGGCTTCATTGGGCTGTGAGTATGAGACACTTCTGAAACACAAAAGGACCAACATTACCAAACAGCTTCTGCTCTGAGGAATCAAGGCAATAGCTAACTATTGTCAGGAATTCTGACTCCAGCCCGAAGGGCCTCATGTAAGAAAGTTCAGAATCCTTGTGTTTTGTTAACCATTCCAGCTTCTCCATTGGTTTGAGGTACAGAATTCTCCCTCAATGACAAAGTACTGATGGCAAGAAATAAAATAAAATAAATTAAAATCAAATCAAATCAATGAATGGCTTAATACAGAGCAAGACAGATGCCCAGCGGTTAAAGGAAATGCTACATGGACCAGAACAGCAAGAAATCCCTCCAAGATCTTTGAAAAACACTAAACTGTCAATACTGAATTCCCAGAGCAATCTCTTATTGAAGAGCAGTCATGCTTTGTCATTCTGCAGACTCTCACACGCTATTTTCTCAGAACTACGTAGTAGTATTTCTTTAGAAAGCAGGGTTGGTCTTTTAATCCTGCCTATGAAAGCAGGATTTCATAGACACTGAGTTTCTGAAAGGACTATTTTTATTTTCAGTGTAGACACGCCTATACTTTCTTAGTGACAAAGAAGGCAAAAAAAAAAAAAAAGAAGATGGAAGAGGAAGAAGCTCACAATTGGTATGGAAGGGAGAGAATGGCACTCCTAATTATGGAAAGAAGTAGTTATTGTAATGTAAATTCTCTTTTCTGTATTACATTCCTTTAAATACTTTTTCATGAGGCTGTGACTTTTGGTACTAAGAACGTGTCCCCACAAAAAATACTTGAAGACCACAATTATGGAAAAGGAAAAACTGCTGGGTACCTGAAGGTGGACATGCATTCTGACTGAGATTCTGGCATTCTTGTTCTTCCTTGTAGAAAATCTGTATGTCAGAAGTTCCCATTTCTTCATCCTCAAAGTCCTTCATTTCCTCTTTTACACCTTTATGAGACCAAAAAAACATCCAGTCACGATGGCAGAAAGCCTTACAATGAGGTCATAATACTAAAAATTTAAACTTCCATCGAGATTTCTCACAAACACCACTGTCACCTTTTAAAACAATTAAAAGAATCTTTTTGAGTTTGCTATCTCAGTTTGGAGTTTGAATTTCAATGTCATTTTGGACTTTATTATTCAAAGTGTGGAACACTGACTAGCATTTTCTGGAAGGTGTTAGAAATGCAGACTCTTGAACCTCTACAGAATCAGAATCCTAATTTGGACAAGAGTCCCAGGTGGTTCACATGTACTCTAGAGAAGAGAAGCTTGAGTTAGCAGATATTCATGTCTTCCATTCCTGGCCTGACCCAAGAAATCAGATGTGTATTTACACAATTTCTGGAACAAACTGTGACCTAAAGAAGCCTAGGAAAAGCTAAGGCCAGAAATTCTGAGGGTTTATCAAACTCAGCCATTAAAACAATGCTCGGAGGTTAGCTTCAGGAAGCCAAATGATGGCTCGGATACTTAATCACAACAGATTCTTTTTTTCAGTCCTGTTCTGGTTCAGTTCCAGATGGCTTCCAGGCAGAGAACCAAGCAATGTCTATCATTAGTCTACTGTGATAAGGCGGTGAGTCCAGTTTGAATCTTTTTAATTCTAGAATTTTCAAGCTTTTTCTCTGATCATCTAAACCCAGACAGTGAGCTCAAACAATGCCTTCCCCAGATCCTTTGGGCCTGATGGGCTAGTTCTGGATGAGAACAGTTTGTCCTGGTCCATACTTAGAGGTTATATACAAACAAACTACTTCTGTAGGCAAGTAGTCACTTGCTTTCCAGAATTCAGTTTTGTGCTGCTCTCTCATTAGAGACATAGCCATGGGTACTAGAGGGGAAAGAGCCTCTGACTGGTAGGAATGAAGGAAGCCCTAAGCAGAATTCTGAGGAAGGCAGTGCATGTTTTCAGACCCTCCCACCCTTCAGAACTCTTCTTTGAAAACCCTACCTTTCTCTATGATCCACAGTTCACTGAAGTTGCTCTCTTCTCTCTCCAAAGCAAGTTTCAAAGTTTTGGGCCAGTTCTCCTTGTCTGATCGGACAAGGCAATCAACTATTTTCTCTGCACCTGCCATAGGCCCCTTGTTGGAACAAACCTGAGCAAAACAAGTGCAGTTGATTGATCAATTATGTCAAAGTTTTCCTTTTATGAGTTTTTACTAAAGAAATACCAATGCAAGTGCTATGTGATTTAAAGTCATTTTGTACTATCGTTTAGTAGGTCTTATTCGAGACCATCTTTGTCCCATCCCATACAGTCTTTTAAGATACCCTTTCCTTCCCCCTTGTCCTCTACATGTTATATCACTATGTCAAGCCAAGCATTCTCACCTCCTCGAGATCTTATATCCAATCACCATCAGCAATATTAGAAAAACAATCCATTTAACAGCTATTCAAAATATGGCTATATTGACATAAAGAGATATTTGGAAGGATATAACCAAATATTAACAAATGTTTTTTTCAAGATAGTGAGACTTACATGACTTTTATAATTAATCATAACTACAATTTATTGAACACTTATTATTATGTGCCAGGCATATGTAAGCATTTACATATTATCTCATTTAATCTTTATAAAAATATAGTAATAAGGTACTATTATTATTTCCATTTTATACATGAATAAACAGAGGATTAGAGAAACTAAGTAACTTGCCTAAGATCATACCACTAGTAAGTGGTTGAGCTAGGATTCTAAGAAAATGTATTTGTGTCCAGAGTCTGAACACTTAACCACTAGATTATATGGCTTTTTTCTTTTTTATTTGCTATTACTGTTTGATTTTATTTAAATTTGCATACAACATTATTTACAAAGTAATAGAAATAATTTTAACTGAAAATAGGGCAAACCTGCCCAGCTGGTGTGGCTCAGGGGTTGAGCATCAACTCATGCACCAGGAGGTCACCGTTCGATTCCGGGTCAAAGCACATAACCAGGTTGTGGTCCAAATCCCCAGTGGGGGACATTAGGAGGTGGCCAATCGATGTTCTCTCTCATCAATGTTTCTGTCTCTCTCTCCCTCTTCCTTTCTCTCTCACTTAAATCAATAAAGGAAAAAAGTTGAAAAAATAAAGTTAAAAAAGTTTTTAAAAGAAAATAGGGCAAACCTGAAAAAAACTTGTGACATAAAAATCACTCAGTTCACAATTAAACGTACTATTCTAGGTAATTATACCTTAGATTTGAAGACTTTTGTAGATTTCAGTGATCTTTCTTAGTTCTAAAACAGTAAAGAAAACATTTTCCACGTTCAAATTATTTCCCTCAGGTTCAGAATTTTATTTTAATTAAATTACCTGTCTAATTTCTTCACATTCCTGATTAATTAAACAGTCAGCTATTGCAGGAAGGATATCATTTGGATTAATTCTAGTTTTAAATTCTGGTTGCAAACGCCTTAAAAGCAATCTATACTCCTCCAACTTTTCAATTTTTTGGAAATCCCAACTTTCAATGGCTTCATAAAGTCCAGAATAACCTGAAAAAAGAAGAAAAAGAGAGAGAATTAGGGGCTTTTATGAGACCAATTAAAAATACTTTGATATTATTAATATCATAGGAATCATGTCTGAATATATAGTGAGAGAACTAAAAAATATCTGTAAATCACCTTAGTTATTAATGATCTTTCAAAAAGAAAACTCAATATTCATTTTAGGTTCCCAACATTTTAGGTCCTCTAACAATATTTATCATCTCCTAGGAGAAAGAACTTAAGAATAAATGTCTCAGCAGTTGGAGCGTTGGCCTGTGGACCAGAGAGTCCTGGGTTCGGTTCCCGCTAGGGGCATGTACCAAAAAAAAAAAAAAAGGACATGTGCCCTGGCCGGTTTGGCTCAGCGGTCAGAGCGTCCACCTGAGGTCCGGAGAGACCGGGTTCGGTTCCCGCTAAGGGCATGTACCTTGGTTGCAGTTTGTCCCCGGCCCTGGTTGGTCGCGCGGGTGGCAGCCACTCAATGTGTCCCTTTCACATCGATGTTTCCCTCTCTCTCTCTTCCTCTCTCTCCCTCCCACTCTGTCTGTACAAAAAACGAAAAAATGTCCTCGGGTGAGGATAAAAAAAAAAAAAAGAATAAATGTGAAGCCTTTCTTACACTTGATCTTAGTATAAAATCTTCCTTCCAAAGGGCATCCATGGACTTCACCTACAACCCCTGATTTATCTTTCAATGAGTCAAACCATCATGTTAAGTATTTTGTCAGTCCAAAGTAGTAAAAAAGGCAAAAACAAATATAAATCATAATTCCAGCCCCTCAGGAGCTTACCTTCTGTATTATTCCAAAAAAAGAAAACTAAGTATAATGAGAAATTTGAGGTGAAAAAAACATTATTTCCAACTGTAATAATCCAAGAATGTGTCACACTATGGTTCTCTATCAGAATTACCAGCCTTGTCTAACTTTAAGGCCCACAACCTTTTCATTAGGATATAAACAGCACAGCAACAAAATGAACACATGTAAACCCATTCACAACGTAACTAGAATATTCCAGTATGTTTGTGGATGTGTGCCTCCTTCCCCCCACCCTTCTATCTTCCTGCAGATACACTCCTATCCTGTATTTGATGTATCACTCTCTTGGTTTTGTTGAATAGTTGTATGACATATGTTTGATTCTCTAAACAATATATGTTTTGTATAGCATGCTTGGAACTTTATAATTATATTCTACTAAATGGAATTTTCTCTGACTTTTTAATTTTTTTATCCTCACCCAAGGACATTTTTGCATCTATCTTCAGATAGAGCAGGAGGGAGAGAGGGGGGAAGAGAAAGAGAGAAACATCGATGTGAGAGAGACACATCAAGTGGTCACCACCCACACGACCCCAACCAGGGGCAGGGACAAACCACAATCGAGGCATGTGCCCTTAACAGGAACTGAACCCGGGAATCTGATCCACGGGCCGAAGCTCTAATCGCTGAGCCAAACTGGCCAGGACTTCTCTGACTTTTAAAAAAGATTACTATTACATTTCTAAGCTTTACCTGTGCTGTCATCTAGAGTTTTTTTTGTTTGTTTGTTTGTTTTTTAATTTATGTATATATTTTTGTTACAGATATTTCTCCTTTTCCCCCCACTGATTCATCCCTCCCCATCACTCCCCACCCTGTCCCCAGCTTTGTTGTCCATGACCTTTGTTCATGCATACATGCATATAAGTTCTGCGGTTTGTCTCTCCCCCACCACCCCCTGTTCTGGGGATTGTCAGTCTGTACCCCACTTCCACATCTCTGGGACTACCCCATTCCTCAGACTGTTATGTTAATTATATTCCACAAATAAGTGAGATCATATGATACTTGTCTTTCTCTGTTTGGCTTGTTTCGCTTAGGAAAATACCTTCCAGGTCCCTCCATGTCATCTCAAAGGATACGAGATCTTTCTTTCTTACAGCTGCATAACACTCCATTGTGCATATGTACCACAGCTTTTTTATCCATTCTTCTACCAATGGATATTTGGGCTGTTTCCAGATCTTAACTACTGTAAATAGTGCTACTACGAACATGAGGGTACATGTATTCTTTCTGATTGGTGTTTCAGGCTTCTTAGGGTTTATTCCTAGAAGTGGGATCACTGGATCAAATGGCAGTTCAATTTTTAATTTTTTGAGGTAACATCATATGTTTTCCATAGTGACTGCACCAGTCTGCATTCCCACCAGCAGTGTACTAGAGTCCCCTTTTCTCCACACTCTTGCCAACATTTGTTGTTTGATGATTCGGTGATGGCGGCCTTTCTGACAGGTGTGAGGTGATACCTCATTGTTGTTTTAATTTGCATCTCTCTGATGCTTAGTGATGTTGAGCATTTCTTCATATGTCTCTTGGCCATTTGTATGTCCTGTTTGGAGGTGTCTGTTTAGTTCCTCTGCCCATTTTTAATTGGGTTGTTGGTCTTCCTTTTGTTGAGTTGTATGAGCACTCTATATATATTGGAAATTAACCTCTTATCTGATATATCATTGGAAAATATGCTCTCTCATACAGTGGGTTCCCTTTCCATTTGGTGGTTGTTTCTTTTGCTGTGCAGAAGCTTTTGAGTTTGATGTAGTCCCATGTGTTCATTTTCTCCTGTTTCTGTTGCCTTAGGTGATGTATCAGTGAAAATTCTGCTTCGTATGATGTCTGAAATTTTGTTGCCTACATTTTCTTCTAGGAATTTTATGGATTCATAAGTCACAGTTAAGTCTTTTATCCATTTTGAGTTTATTTTTGTGTATGGTGTAAGTTGATGATATAGTTTCATTTTTTTGCATGTAGCTGTCCAATTTTCCCAACACCATTTATTAAACAGGCTGTCCTTACTCCACTGTATGCTCTTGACACCTTTGTCAAATATTAATTAAGCATATTGTCTTGGGTCCATTTCTGGGTTCTCTGTTCTGAACTGGTCTATATGCCTGTTCTTGTGACAGTACCAGGCTGTTTTGAATACAGTGGCTTTGTAGTATAACCTGAAATCTGATAATGTGATCCCTCCAACTTTGTTCTTCTTTTTCAAGATTGCTGTGGCTATTCAAGGTCTTTTTTTGTTCCATATGAACTTTTGAAGTATTTGTTCTAGTTCTGTGAAGTATGTCATTGGTATTTTGATGGGGATTGCATTGAATCCATAGATTGCTTTGGGTAGTATGTACATTTTAATGATGTTAACTCTTCCAATCCATGAACAAAGTATGTGCTTCCACTTTTTTAAATCTTTCTCTATTACTTTTTTCAATGACCTGTAGTTTTCTGTGAATAGGTCCTTTATTTCTTTGGTTAAGTTTATTCCTAGGTACCTTAATTTTTTTTGCTGCGATGGTAAATGGCATTGTTTTTTTAGTTTCTCTTTTGGTGAGTTAATCATTGGTGTATAAGAATGCCATCAATTTCTTGACGTTAATTTTGTATCCTGCTACTTTGCCAAATTCATTTATTAAGTTTAGTAGACTTTTGATGGAGTCTCTGGGGTTTTCTACGTATAGTATCATGTCATCAGCAAATAATGACAGTTTCACTTCCTCCTTTCCAATTTGGATCCCTTTTATTTTTCCTTCCTGTCTGACTGCTGTGGCTAAGACTTCCAATACTATGTTAAATAAGAGTGGCAAAAGTGGGCATCCTTGCCTTGTTCCTGTTCTTAAGGGAAATGCTTTCAATTTTTGCCCATTGAGTATGATGTTAGCTGTAGGTCTTTCATATATGACCTTTATTATGTCGAGATATGATCCCTCTATTCCCACATTGCTGAGCATTTTTATCAGAAATGGGTGCTGTATTTTGTCAAATGCTTTTTCAGCATCTATTGATATGATCATATGATTGTTATCTTTCATTTTGTTTATGTGGTGTATCACATTCATTGATTTGCAAATATTGTACCAGTCTTGCATCCCTGGGATGAATCCCACTTGGTCATGGCGAATAATTTTTTTGATGTATTGCTGGATTTGATTTGCTAGTATTTTGTTCTGGTTTTTGGCATCTATGTTCATCAGGGATATTGGCCTGTAGTTTTCTTTCTTTGTAGTGTCTTTTTCTGGTTTTGGAATTAGAATTATACTGGCCTCATAAAACGAGTTTGGAAGTCTTCCTTCTTCTTGAATTTTTTTTGAATAGTTTGAGGAGAATGGGTATTAGTTCTTTGAATGTTCGGTAAAATTCCCCGTGAAGCTGCCCGGGCCTGGGCTTTTGTTTGCTGGAAGAGTCTTGATTACATCTTCAATTTCTTTTGTTGTTATTGGTCTGTTCATGTTTTCTGTCTTTTCCCGGTTCAGTTTTGGAGACTATGTGTTTCTAGAAATTTGTCCATTTTGCTTAGATTGTCAAATTTGTTTCCATATAATTGTTCATAATATTTCTTAGTAATCCATTGTATTTCTGTGGTGTCAGTTATAATTTCTCCTCTTTCATTTATGATTTTGTGTATTTGGGTTCTCTCTCTTTGTTTCTTGGTGAGTCTAGCTAAGGGTCCATCAATCTTGTTTATCTTTTCAAGGAGCCAGCTCTTTGTTTCATTGATGCTTTGAATTGCTTTTTTGGTCTCCATGTCATTTATTTCTGCTCTGATCTTTACTATTTCCTTACTTCTACTTGCTCTGGGGTTTTCTTTTTGTTTGCTTTCTAGTTCTTTAAGTTGTGAGGTTAGATAGTCTGTCAGAAATTTTTCTTGCTTCTTGAGATAGTCCTGTAGTGCTATGAACTTCCCTCTCAGAACTGCTTTCGCTGCACCCCATAGATTTTGTGTTGTTGTGCATTCATTTTCATCGGTTTCTAGGAAGGTTTTAATGTCTTCCTTGATTTCCATGGTAACCCATTCATTGTTCAATAACATGCTATTTAGCCTCCATGTTTTCAAATATCTTTGCATGTTCTTGTTGCAATTGATTTCTAGTTTCATGCCATTGTGATCTGAGAAGATGCTTGAAAATGTCCTGTCCTGATGTTTTTCTGTGCTTTTTTCCGAGGATTTGTCTTTATTTTATTTTATTTTATTTTTTTTATCCTCACGCGAGGACATTTTTCCATTTTTTGTTCAGGTAGAGTGGGAGGGAGAGAGAGGAACAGAGAGAGAGAGAAACATCGATGTGAAAGGAACACATCGAGTGGCTGCCACCCGCACAACCGACCAGGGCCGGGGACAAACTGCAACCGAGGTACGTGCCCTTAGCGGGAACCGAACCCGGGTCTCTCAGGACCGCAGGTCGACGCTCCAACCGCTGAACCAAACTGGCCAGGGCGGATTTGTCTTTATTTTAGTTGTAATTCCCATTTGGTCTTGGGAGATCGTCTGTGTAACTTCTATTCACTCCGCCTCCATTTTCACATCCTCTAAGCCTATCTTGTGCGCAGCTGGGTCGCACAGGCCTTTCTGGTGCCCCCTGCACCCTGCAGGTCCTGCAGGTAACTGGATTGCACAGTCCCTTTGGGGACCCAGCTCTATGCCTATGTTATGGGCTGCTGTGTTGCACAGGCCTCTCTGGTGCTTCAGCACCCCACGGGCCCCGTGGGTAACTAGATCGCGCAGTCCCTGCTGGGTCGCACACGCCCCTCTGGTGCCCCCCAGGCGGGCAGCTGGATCGTATCAGTCTCTCTCAGGCTCCGACTTCCCATTGCACTTGTGAGCTACTGGACCACACAGGCCTCTGTGGAACCCCAGGTCCCGCCACTTGTGGCTGGGGAGTGCTGCTGCCCCGTGGAACTCAACTCCTGCTCAGCTTTTGCTGTAGATTTGGGGGATGGTTCTCAGCTGCTGATCTGTGCTTCTGTTGCCTAGGGATGGATGTCTTCTCCCCAGCTTCTGTTGCTGGGGGTATATCTCAACTCTGATGGGGCTGCTACTGTGGGGTATGGTGCTGGGCTCCTGGCTATCCTTGGCTTCCAGGACCAGCACCTTGGGAGCTTCACTACTGTGCACCAGTCTGTGTTGACCCAGAATGTCCACTGGTCCGATGGTTCCAGGTGCGCTGGTGGGCTCAGGTTGCTGGGCCCTAGCCGCTCCCACTGCCGCCTCCCAGGGAAGACCTGGGATCTTCCAAAATGGTGGGACCTCCCCGAGGTACAAGGAGAAGCGCCCTGAAGGGCCGCTTACCGGGGTAGACAGCTGCTCCGTCCACAGCACAGGAACCTTCTGCTCCACGGCTCTGCACTGCTCGGGTTTGGTTGTCCACCTTCACATCCACTCACACTCTCTCATACACTCACTCACTCTCTCACATACTCACCCTCCCTCTGGTCCTACCCACTGCCATCTTCAATCACATGATAACTTTTGTTACTATCATAAATGATATTTCTATTTGCTTACAGTGAGTGAAAATGCAACTACCTTATATATTGATCTTCTATTCAATACACTTGCTAAACTCTCCCATTAGTTACAATACTCTGTAGATGCCTTTGGATGTTTCAGGTAGACAGTTATATTATCTGCCTGAATATAGTCTTTACATTGCTTCAGATTAAAAGACATGAACTATATGTGGATATCTCAAAATGAATAGCATTCTGAAACAGTCAGGTAATAAACTCTGATCTGTGATTAAAAAGAATAAACTAACCTGCATGGGTAAGAGCATCCAAAAAGCCACGGAACCAGCCTTCCTCCTGGAGCTTCAATAGGTGCTTGAGAAAAAGTGAGGCAGCCTCCATCACGCCCTTGTTATTTTTCTCAGCCTGAATATACTGCACCTCATCTACAAACAGAAGCAAGAGTGACTCATCAAACTGTAGAACCAGTAATCATTGTGTTATCGGTGGGGTGCCCTCTGCATCCCCATGTTACCAGTGGAAGTGGACTTGTGATGTCTCAAGGAAAGGAATTTCCTGAAACTTGCATGGGAGAATGAGTGATCTTTATTTCTGTAGAATTAAACCCCTGGGTTTCCAATGTCCCACTTACCTCCATCCTGCCATGGAAAAAGTCCAATCTTGTCTTCAGCAGGCTAGAATTAAGGCCACTGCCCAGAGTCTCCACTTCATATTAAAGCACAGTCCAGTCCAGCATCTAGCTAGCTTAGCTTGTGTTACCAGGTTCAGCCCATTGCATGTGGGGTCCACATGGCCAAGGGCCATGCAGCTGCTTAAGGCCACATGGTGGGCAAGTGTGGGTCATGAAGCAAAAGAGTGAAAGAGCAGGCAAAGAGCACAAGAGAGAAGTAACTCTTTGTCTGGGTCTTATAACCAGGAACTTAACCAAATAATCCTTTAAGATTTCATGCACTTGCAGTGGCTTAACCCCCCGCCCCAGCCAATTATCTTTTTCCCAGATTAGACTGACAGGCAAGCACCTCCCCTACATCACCCTACTTCACTGCACCTGTGCCTAGCTCCTCCTTTGTTTGATCCCTTCCCCCAGTGATCTGCAGGGAATGGACCAGTGGTTCCCTGGGGAGCGTGAAATTATAGCTTCCTGGTGAAGCTGCCCAGATGACTATGCTTATAGTGTCTGGCCTCCCCTTTGCTCTCTTCCTACTATTAATATTAATAACTAGCTAATTATGACAATAACAATTAGAAGAAAAACCTAAACAAGGCTGTCAAACCTTCTCAAGTGGAGGTGAAAACTGTAACAAATCACAGCAATAGAAGGAACTGTAGGAAGGCAGCAAATTCTCTGCCCATTCTTCACCAACTCACCCTCCCATCCTCTCCGAAAATTCTACTAGTTTGATATGGAAGTCTAGGAGCCACACTCTAGGACAGTCCTAAAGAAAAGGAGTTTCTTGGCTCCCAGTCAAGATGGCAGAATAGGTGAACACTGTGATCACCTAAACTACAGAACAGCCGTCACTGAGAATCACCTGAAGTATAGCTGAAGAAAAGTCCTATAACCAAGAATGTACAGAAGAAGTCATGTTAGACAGTTGAAAAATAAAAAAAATGATTAAAAACAAAAGAAGTTTCTTAAAGATGTTTGAAAAAGTCTCCCACAAGGGAGAAGTCATGGTAGACACTAGATTAGATGGAGGAACTAAGGCTCCCTCCAACATTTTGATAGTCTCTTGTTCAAAGGTCTGAATTAACTGCAGGACTAAGAGTCTGAGGATAGGGCCCATTAGTAACAATTACAGTGGACTCAGCAAGCAGACTTAGAAATAAACAGAGATGTTTTCATGGTCCTTTTTCCAGGCTCTTGCTAAGGCAGTAGGCAATATGGCAGAAAAGAGGAGCTAAAAAGAAATACAGTGAGACGAGGTAGCAGAAATCTATCCAAAAACATGCAGGTTGTACAATGACTCCATGTCTGCAGTGGTAACTAAACTGCTGCCTTCATCTAATATTTGGTATTTTCCGCTTTTCTACCGCTGTCAATGTAAATTCTAAGGGAGTAAACCAGACGTCTGGATGGTCAACTACTGTATTCTCAGAGATTAGAAGAGAACATAACAAACTAACAGACACTCAACAAAGGTATGCTGAATGAAAGAAAGGAATGCCTTCCTTCTCTGTCTTGGCAACAGTAAAATTAACCTTTTAAAGTGTAAAATTCATGGTTTTTAAGAGTTGTGAAACTATCATAGTGTAAGGAGCTTCTGGCACAACTTCAAGCATGCCAACATTCACATCATAGGAGTGCCAGAAGGAGAAGAGAGAGAACAAGAAATTGAAAACCTATTTGAAACAATAATGACAGAACAATTCCTTACCTTGATGAAGGAAACAGACATACAAGTCCAGGAAGCACAGAGAGTCCCAAACAAGATGAACCCGAAGAGGTCTACACCAAGACACATCATCATCAAAATGCCAAAGATTATATACAAAGAGAGAATCTTAAAAGCAGCAAGAGAAAAGCAGTTTATAACTTACAAAGGAGCTCCCATAGACTGTCAGCTGATTTCTCAAAAGAAACTTTGCAGGCCAGAAAGGAGTGGCAAGAGATATTCAAGGTGATGAAAAGCAGTGACCTACAGCCAAGATTACACTACCCCTGCAAAGCTATCATTTAGAATCAATGGACATATCGATTTTCCCAGACAAGAAAAAGCTAAAGGAGTTCATCACCACCAAACCAGTATTATATGAAATGCTGACGGGTCTTCCTGAAGGAGAAGAAGAACAAAAATATGAACACTAAAATGGCAATTAATACATATTTATCAATAATTGAATCTACAAACAAAATGAGCAAGGAGAACAGAAACAGACTCCTGGATACAGAGAACTTTTTGTTGCTTGCCAGATGGGAGAAGGCTGGGGGGATGTGTGAAAAAGATGAAGGAATTAAGAAGTACAAATTGGTTGTTAGACTGATGAACCTCAAAGGGAAGTGGGGAGGGAGGGCGGGATGAGATAAACCAAAGAATTTATATGCATATATGCATAACCAATGGACAGCGACAATAGTGTGGGGAAAGCAGGAGGGGGGTGGGATAGGGAGGAGGGGGTCAATGGGTAAAAAAAGGGGGGGACATCTGTAATACATTCAATAATAAAGATGAGTTAAAAATAATAAAGTGTAAAATTCATGGTTTTTATTTTATTTAAAATTTTTTTTCTTTATTCATTTTAGAGAGAGAGAAAGGAAGGGGGAAGAGAGAGAGAAACATCAATGAGAGAACATCGATTGGCTGCCTCCTGCATGCCCCCTACTGGGGATCAGGCCCACAACCTGGGCACGTGCCCTGACCAGGAATGGAACCAGTGACTTCTTGGCACATGGGTCGACGCTCAACCTGAGCCACCCGGCCGGGCAAATTCATGGATTTTATGAGTTGTGAAACTATCATAATCTAATTTTAGTACATTTTCATTAAGGTACGAAGAAATCTTAGACTCGTTAGCAGGCACTCCCTATTTACTCTCCCCTTAGCCTCAAGCAACTGATACTCTATTTAAGTCTCTAGGGATTTGCCTGTTTTGGACATTTCGGATGAATGGTATCATACAATATGTAGGCTTTGTGACTGGGGTTTTTCACTTAGCATACTGTTTTCAAGGCTCATCCGTGTATAGCACGTGTGCCCTCTTCAGCTTCCCAGAGCAGACTTTCTTGATCTCTTTTCTGAGCTTTCTCTTTACATGCCTCTGACTAGAGCACTGACACTGCACAGTATATAGTCATTGTCTGAGGGTCTGTCTTCTCTCTTAGACTATAACCATGGACAAATTGTAATCATCTGTGTCTTCATCTTTGTATTCTAATCATCAACCAAGTGCCTGGAATGTGTCCAGAAGATATGACTGAAGGAATGGATAAATACTCAGAATTTTGCACCCCCAGTGCCCCTCTAGCATACAGGGTAGCCTTTGACTCCAAAGGGATACTGCAAAATAATCTGTAGCCCAGTCTACCTTAAAACATCATGGATAACCTAAGTAAAGCCCTACAGATCCCCAGTGACCATGCAAGCTCTCCAGAAGAAACAGGTCTTCAGTGTTCCTTTTCCAATGTCAACACATGAAGAGAAGATTATAGTAAAAGAGATACAAGAAACTGCTAATGTAATTCAAACATATTGGTGTTATTTGTGTGTGTGTACATGGGAATGTATGAGCATAAGGATATGGATAAGCTCCCACTGCCTTCTGATTTTTTTAAATTTATTGATTAAGCCCGGCCACTGGGGCTCAGTGTTTGAGCATCAACCCATGCACTAAGAGGTCCCAGTTCGATTCCTGGTCAGAGTACATGCCCAGGTTGTGGGCCCGATCCCCAGTTGGGGGCATGCAGGAGGCGGCCAATCGATGTTCTCTCTCATTAATGTTTCTATCTCTCTCTCCCTCTCCCTTCCTCTCTCTCTAAAAAAAAAAAAAAAAATCAAGCCCTGGCCGGTTTGGCTCAGCAGTTGGAGCATCGGCCTGCAGACCAGAGTCCCAGGTTTGGTTCCCACTATGGGCACGTACCAAAAAAAAAATCAATAAAGAAAAAATATTATTGATTGATTTTTCGAGAGAGAGACTGAGGGATGGAGAGAGAAACATCAATTTGTTGTTCCACTTATCTATGCATTCATTGGTTGATTCTTTTTTCTTTAATCCTCACCCAAGGATATTTTTCCATTTATCTTCAGATAGAGTGGGAGGGGGGAGAGAAAGAGAAACATCAATGTTGGCTGCATCCTGCACGGGGATTGAATCACAACCGAGATATGTGCCCTTGACCAGAATTAAATCCAAGACTCTTTGGTCCGCAGGCCAACACAAATCACTCAGCCAAACCGGCCAGGGCCATTGGTTGACTCTTATATGTGCCCTGACCAGGCATGGAACCCACAACCTTGGCGTATCAGGACTACGCTCCAGCCAACTGAGCTACCTGCCAGGGTCCACTGCCTTCTAATGAGAGAAAAAAAAAAAAAAAAGAGGCAGAAAGTGTACATCCAGCCATAGCACTCATTAGCATTTCCACTGTCTGACTGAATCCTGACATAGAATATACCTGTCACAATTAAGGTTAAACAATAGAATCCAGAGCTCCCAAAGCAGGCAAGAAAAATATAGGAGATACAGAAACATTATCAATCTAATAGAAAACAGAAAAAGATGGGGGAAAAGAAAAAAGTTTATGAATCCATGTGTACACAATAAAGTATAAAGAAATGAACAGTAAAGATATACACCAACTAAATGATAAATGTTGCCTTTGGTGAGGGACTTGAAATAAAACCTCTGTGGTACCTTTAACATTCAAAAAGAAGATAATATTATACATAGTGTTCTTCAGCTTGCTTTTTTAAACTTACCTTTTAGTTATTTTTATTGTGGTTGTGTTATAACTATCAATTAAAACTAAGATATGTATTAAAAACTATCCCACCTATGTGCTCCCACAGCATAACATGGTTTTCCATCAAAGCACTTACCACACTTATCTATTGTTTAGTTACCTGCCTTCACATATGCACTCTAATCTCAATCAGGGCAGGGACCATTTCCTCTTTAATATGTTTTTATAGATTTTTTAGAGAGAAAAGAAGGGAGAGATGGAAACATGAATGTGAGAGAGAAACATTGATCAGCTGCCTCCTGCATGCTCCCTATGGGGGATCGAGCCCACAACCCAGGCATGTGCCCGGACTGGGAATCGAACCAGGACCTCTCAGTCCATGGGATGATGCTCAATCCACTGAGCCACACCAGTCCGGCATGGCAGGGATCATTTCTATCACCACTAATTCCTTAGTCCTTACATGATGCTTCCTATTAGATAATGTGTGCAGTAATATGGGTAAATTATCTCCAATGCTAGCATAAGGCCTGACACATGTACTGTTTGTTTACTGAATCAATACATGAGTGGATGAAAGAATGGAATTCACAACAGTTTGTTAGTGTTTCACTCATTCCAGGGAATTCTTTTTTTTTTTTTTCCCAAATCTTTATTGTTGGATGTAAAATGTATTACAGATGTTCCACATTTTTCCCCCATTGACCCCCTCCTCCCCGCTCCCGCCCCCCTCCCACCTTTTCCCACATTATTGTCTGTGTCCATTGGTTATGCATATAAGTTCTTTGGTTTATTTCTTCCCACCCCCCCCCACCCCAACCCCTTTCCCTTTGAGGTTTGTCAGTCTAGCAATGAATTTGTGCTTCTTAATCCCTTCACCTTTTTCACCCATTCCCCCAACCTCCTTCCCAACTGGCAACCAACAAAATGTTCTCTGTATCTATGAGAATGTTTCTGTTCTTCCTGTTCATTTTGTTTGTAGATTCCATTGTTGATAGATATGTATTCATTGCCATTTTGTTTGTTCATACATTTTATCTTTTTCTTCAAAAAGACCCTTCATCATTTCATATAATAACGGTTTGGTGGTGATGAACTCCTTTAACTTTTTCTTGTCTGGGAAAGTTTTTGTATGTCCATCGATTCTAAATGACAGCTTTGCAGGATAGAGTAATTTTGGTTGTAGGTTCTTGGTTTTCATCACTCTGAATAATTCTTGCCACTCCCTTCTGGCCTGCAAAGTTTCTTTTGAGAAATCAGCTGACAGCCTAATGGGTACTCCCTTGTAGGTAACTAGCTGCCTTTCTCTTGCTGCTTTTAATATTCTCTCTTTGTCTTGAACCTTTTGCATTTTGATGATGATGTGTCTTGGTGTGTGCCTCTTGGGGTTCATCTTGTTTGGGACTCTCTGTGCTTCCTGGACTTGTATGTCTGTTTCCTTCACCAAGTTAGGAAAGTTTTCTGCCATTATTGTTTCAAACAGCTTTTCGATTTCTTGTTCTCTCTCTTCTCCTTCGGGCACCCCCAAGATGCGAATGTTGGCACGCTTGAAGTTATCCCAGAGGCTCCTTACTCTATCCTCATTTTTTTGGATTCTTTTTTCTTTTTGCTGTTCTGATTGGGGATTTTTTGCTTCCTTATATTCCAAATTGATGGTTTGCTCCTTGGATCTACATACTCTATTATTGAAGCTGTGTAAATTATTCTTTATTTCAGTTAATGCCTCCTTTAATTCTAACTGTGTATCCATGATTTCTAACTGGTACTTTTTTATGCTCTTGAGGCCCTCCCTAAGTTCACTGAGGTTCTCACTAAGTTCATTGAGCATCCTTATAAGCAGTATTTTGAACTCAGTATCTGTTAGGTTGCTGATCTCCCTTTCGCTTAGTTCTTTTATTGGGGTTTTGTTCTGTTCTTTCATTTGGGACCCGTTTCTTTGTATCCTCATTTTGGCTGCCTCCCTGTGTTTGTTTCTGTGTATTACTTAATGAGAGGTATGGGGCTCGCTGAGACCCGGTGCTGCTCGTTTGAAAGAATTTAGAAAAAACCTGAAGCAGGATCCAAGACCGGCCAATCCTATGGTTAAGCAAGTGACAACAGCTTGAAAGTTGTGTGGGGCGGGGCGGGGCCTCAGGGAGTCAGCAGGGCGTGGCTACCAGTGTGAGCCAGGTTGCTGGAGTCCCAGATATGGCTTCTGTCTGCTGCCCCTGAGAAGGGCTCACCAAAGGAACAAAGGCCTCTGACAGCACGTTTGTCCCCAAGGAAGCCCCCTCTCCAGCGCTCGCTCCAGTGCCAAACAGCTCAGTTCTTCCCTGTATGTCTCTGGTGCCCCTCGAGCTGCCTCCCCTCCAAGCTTAGAGGGAGACAGTCCGATAAGTCCGTGCACCGGCCCTTTAGGGAGCTGTCTGGGGCTCCAGCCGCTTCAGCTTCCCTGAGCCTCTGTTCCCGCTGGTTTTTCCAGCCAGAAGTTATGGGGACTTCTCTTCCTGGCACTGGAACCCTGAACCGGGCACCTGGTGTGGGACGGGGACCCCTCAGTCCTCAGGAAGGACCTTCCCAGCCGCGAGATCCTCCTGATTTTTATCCACCACGCTTGGGTGTGGGACCAGCCCGTCTCGCCGCTGCGCGCTCCGCTGCCGCTGCGCCGCCGCCACCGCCCCCCTCGCGCCGCCGCCCGTCCTACCGGTCTGGATGTAGCTGTTTTTTTTTTCCTTAGTTCCGTAGTTGTACGACTTCCATTCAGCTTGATTTCAGGCGGTTTTGAATGATGGTTGTTCTTTAGTTTAGTTGTAACTTTGATGTGGTTGTGGGAGGACGCGATACCGCGTTTACCTATGCCACCATCTTGACCGGAAGTCCCATTCCAGGGAATTCTAAAAGAATGTCTTGCACAGGCTTACAGTCTTCAGGGGCAGAAGCTACTCTGATAATTAGGATGTTTTGTTGTGACTTCACTCTGAGCACAACTAGAAAGTAGAGGTTGACTGTTGGTGGTATTCTCTTACTCCTCACTCCACAGCCTGTGGTCAGTTTTGCAGAACAATCAGTAGAGAAGTTACCTGGCTGCTTTAATGCAATTTCCAAAAACTGCCTTATCAGGAAATATATTTAGGCACTTGTCTGAAAAGGAATCGCCAGATCCACTCTCGCAATTCCCTCCAGGTACCGCCTCCCTTCTCCAAAGTTTGCATTCACATCCAGCACAAAGCATTTCAATATAAATGTACAAAATGGACCTGGCCAGTTTTTGACTCAACGGTTAGAGCGCCTGCCCTCGGACTATAGAGTCCCGGGTTCAGTTCCGGGGCTAAAGGCATGTAGGGTTGCAGTTTGTCCTGGCCTCGGTTGGGGTCCTGTGGGTGGCAACCAGTCCATGTGTCTCTCTCACTTCGATGTTTCTCTCTCTCTTTCTCCCTCTCTCCCTCCTCTCTCTCCCTCCCACTCTATCTGAAGATAAATGCAAAAATGTCCTCGGGTGAGGATAAAAACAAAAACAAAAAACAAATGGCCATTATCCATCATCAGTGTCTCGAAAGCAGGATGGAAACGCCTGAATTAAAGCCTAAAGCCACTCAGTCCAAGTCTTGCTCCTCTCAAGTTCCCAGTTATTTGGAAGTGAATGGCAGATAAGCATGGACTTCCTTGCAGCTCTGATGGTGTTTCAAATCATTTGCGTATATCTATTCTTACCTGTGTCCCACCCCTAAAACCTTGGACTGTAAAGTATTTTAAGGCAGGGCCTGTATCTTATTTCTGAACCTCTGATGTCAGCACAAAACTGAACACACAGCAGACGTAACTATTACTAGAGATCAACGAAATGGACAGCGACTTGTTTATTCAGCTTTGAATCTATCTAAATACATGTGCACGGTTAAGCAAGTCGTTTCACCTCGCTGGGACTCAGTTTCCCCACCCGGGCCCCCAAGGTCACTCTCAAACCCCGACAATCTCTAGTCTAAAATGCTGTGGGGATCTCGCCATAAAGCCGGCGTTCCTAGCAGGCTACCCGTGTTGATTAAAAGAATGGGTAAAAAGGGAAAACAAGTCAAGCACTGTTCTCCTGCCCCAAGGAGGTCGGGGGAGGGCGCCCCTGCGGACCACTCACCGTCCTTAAACCAGGGGGCCATGTAGCTCAGGACGTAGGTGGGGTCCAGAATCTTGGTGATACAGTCGCGGAAGGCGAGCAGATTCTGCCGGTCCTCGGCCGTCATGTTCGCCGCTCAGCTGCCCGAAGGGCCGCCTCACCTGCAGCGAGCCGGCAGAGTTCCCACGACACGCTCCCAGCGCCGATGGGCAGAGCTGCGGGAGAATCGAAACTGCAACTGGCGGACGGAGGGCAGGGCTCCCACAGGGACAGCCTCCCCGCCCCGGCCCCTCGCAGTCCGCTTCCTCTCGGCTCCCTGATCTTCCCACCAGAGGCGCTCGCGGATCCAGCGGGACCGAATGGGACCCCTGGGAATAGCTTTTTTAAATTTCCATTTTATCTTTTTTGTTTGTTTGTTTGGCTTGTATAGCGGTGAAGTTTAGATTCAATAAAGTGCACAGATTTGAAGTGTACAATTCTGTTTTGAAAAATGTATATAGTGGTACCACATTCCCTGGGTTGTGTGGGTCCCAGGGTAAGTGTATGTTTAACTTGACATGAAACTGCCACCTGTTTTCTCAAGTGGCCTTACCATCTGCATTCCCGCCTGTAGTGTAAGGGAGTTCTGCTAGATACACATTCAGTAAGCATACACAGTAGTCTGTTTGTTTGTTTGCTATCTTGGTTGGTGTGAAATGGTATATTGTTGTGGTTTTAATTTTAATTCCTTAATGATGATATTGGGCACATTTGCATGTACTTATTGGCCTCTTCTATATGGCATATGTGTGAAGCATTTGCTCTGATCTTTTGGCCCACTGAGTGGTTTTTGTTTGTATTATGGATTTACAAATTTTATTTATTTATTCTGGATACCAGCCTACTATCAAATATATGTATCCCAAATGTCTTCTCCCTGTGATTTACCATTTCCTTTTCTGAAAGGTGTTTGAGAAAAAGTTTATTTTGATGAAATCTAATTATCTGTTTTTTGTGTCCTCTAATAAATCTTTGCCTACTCCTAGGTCATTAAGGTATTTTGCCCGGCCGGTGTGGCTCAGTGGTTAAGTGTGGACCCATGCACCAAGAGGTTGTCAGTTCAATTCCTGGTCAGGGCACATGCCCAGGTTGTGGGCCTGATCCCCAGTGGGGGGCATGTAGGAGGCAGCCAATCAATGTTCTCGCTCATTGATGTTTCTTTCTCTCTCCCTCTCCCTTCCTCTCTCTCTAAAAATCAATAAAGAAAAAAACGTTTTTGAAAGGTATTCTTTGTTTTCTTCTAGAGTCTTTGTGTTTTTAGCTTCGACATTTGGGTCTATGATAATCTCAAATTAATTTTGTTGTGGTGTGAGGTAGGAATCTGTTTCATTTTTCCACACTTCTAGTTGTTCCAGCACAATGTGTTTCATTTGTTGAAAAATGTCCTTCTCTCATTGAATATCCTTGGCACTTTGTAAAAAAAAAAAAAAATCAATTGACTGTATGTGTGCAGGTCTATTTTTAACTCTAATCAGTTTTGTCTATTTGCTGATACTGCTTTATTCTTCTTTGTAAAGATTATCTTGGCTATTCCAGGATTTTGTATTTCAATATGCTGTAAGAATCTATTTGTCAATCTCCCTACCCCCTTCACACACACACACACACACACACACACACACACACACAGGTGATCAGGGATTTTGATCAGGGCTGCATTGAATCTATAGATACTTGGGGAGAATTGACATCTTAACAATATTGAGTTCTAATCCATAAATTTATTTGTTTTCTTTAATTTCCTTCAGTAGTTTTTTACACTTTTAAGAGTACGGCCTTATCCTGGCAGGTGTGGCTCAGTTGGTTGGAGTGTCATCCCGTATACCAAAAGGTGGCGGTTCAATTCCTCCTGGTCAGGGCACATACCCAGTTTTCAGTTCTCCCTGATTTGGGCAAGCGAGGCAGGCAACTAATGATGTCGATGTCTCTCTCTCTCTCTGTCTCTCTCTCCCTCCCTCCCTTCTGCTTTCTAAAATAAAAAATATATAAGTTTGCATTAAAAAAAAAAAGAGTACAAGTCTTACCTGTTAATTTTATCTTAAATATTTTGTTTTTTGATGCTGTTCTAAATGGCATTGTTCCTAAACTTTCATTTTCAAACTGTTTGTTGTTTTTTTACCTTGTTCTATGCAACACTGCTAAATTCACTATTGGGCCTAGGAACTGTCCTGTAGATTCTTTAAATTTTCCTAGGTAAATAATCATGTCATTTGTGAATACATGGTTTTACTTCTTCCTTTTCAAACTTTATGCCTTGTATTTTGTTTCCTTATTACACCAACTTATGACCTCCAATAACAAGTTGAATGAAAGTGGTGAGGGTTGACACACTTACCTTATTACTAATCTCAGCAGGGAAACTATCGAAGTTTCACTTTAATTATAACGTTGGCTGTAGGTTTTTTTAGATGCCTTTTTATCAGATTGATGCTCTTCTCTTTTATTCCCGATTTGCTCAGATTTTATCATGAATGGGTGTTGAATTTTCCAAATGTTTTTTTCTGCATTAATTGAGGTGATCATATATTGTTAACTGAATTTCACTGATTAAATTTTTTTTTTTTTATCCTCACCCGAGGACATTTTTCCATTTTTTGTACAGACAGAGTGGGAGGGAGAGAGAGGAAGAGAGAGAGAGAGAAACATCGATGTGAAAGGGACACATCGAGTGGCTGCCACCCGCACGACCAACCAGGGCTGGGGACAAACTGCAACCAAGGTACATGCCCTTAGCGGGAACCAAACCCGGATCTCTCCGGACCGCAGGCGGGCGCTCTAACCACTGAGCCAAACCGGCCAGGGCTCACTGATTAAATTTTTAAATATTAGACCAACCTAGAATTCCTGGGATAAATCCCATTTGGTCATGATATAGCATCATTTTTTATATGTTATTGGATTTAACTTGCTAATATTTTTTATCTGTGTTCATAAGATATTGGTCTGTTTCTTTTCTTATAATGTAAAACAAGAGTTTGTGTAAGATTGGCATCAGTGCTTGCTTAAATGTTTAACAGAATTCGCCAATGAAACCATTTGAGCTTGGAGTTTTCTTTGAATTCTTTATAATGGTTCAATTTCTTTACTAGAAGTAAGGCTATTCTGGTTTTTTAATTTTATCTTGTCAGTTTTGGTAAGTTGTGCTTTTTTAAGGAATTTGACATTTCCTATAAATTATTAAATTTATTGGCATAAAGTTGTTCTTGATATTCCCTATGATCCTTTACCTTTTTAAAAAATCAGTCTTGCCAGGAATTCAACAATATTGTTTATCTTTTCAAAAAACCAACTTTGGCTTTGATATTTTTTAAAAAACTATTATTCTGTTTTCTATTTCATTGATTTCCTTCTAATCATTATTCTTTTCTCTTACTTCCTTTGGGTTTAATTTGTTTTTTTTTGTTTTACAAGTTTATTAAATATAAGCATAGAGTACCAATTTTATACATTTTTATTTTCCAATATGAGCATTTGATGCTATAAATTTCCCTTTTCTTAGCTGATATCCCATCAATTTTGATATATTTTCAGTGTCATTCCATTTGACAGTTTCTATTATCCCCATGATTTCTTCTTTAACCTATGAGTTATTTAGAAGTGTGGTATTTATTTTTCAAATGTTGGAAATTTCCTAAACATTTTAGGGTTCCTGACTTCTGATTTTAATCTACTGAGATACTCAATATGTTGTAAGATTTTGATGTTTTGAAATTTATTGAAACTTGTTTCATGGCCCAGCATATGGACTATGTTGATGTATATTCCAGATACACTTAAGAAGAATGCAGTTCATGGGTAATGTTCTATAAATGTCAATTAGTTGGGTTGCATTATAGGGTGGTTCAAGTCTCCCACATAATTATGAATTTTCTGTCTACTTGTTCCACCAAGTACTGAGAGGGGGGTGTTAAAATCTCCAACTATGCATATTTATTTGTCCATTTGTCCCTTTTGTTCTGTTTTTGCACCACCTTTTTTTTTTTTATCCTCACCTGAGGACACTTTTGCATTTATCTTCAGATGGAGCAGGAGGGAGAGAAGGAGGAGGAGGACAGAGAGAAACATCGATGTCAGAAAGACACCTCGACTGACTGCCACCCACACAACCCCAACCGGGCCGGGGACAAACTGCAACTGAGGCACGTGCCCATAGTGGGAACCGAACCTGGGTCTCTCTGGTCTGCGGGCTGATGCTCCAACCGCTGAGCCAAACTGGCCAGGGCTGTACCATAATTTTTTTAAAATATTTTTTTAGTGATTTTTAGAGAAAGGAAGGGAGATGGAGAAAGAGAAACATTAATGATAGAGCAGAAAACTGATTGGCTGCCTCCTGCATGCCCCTTACCAGGGATTGAGCCTGAAACCCAGGCATGTACTCTGATCAGGAATTGAACTGGTGACCTTTCGGTGCATGGGACAAAGCCCAACTAACTGAACCACACTGGCCAGGGCTGCACTATAATTTTGTAGCTGTTATTAGATGCATTCACATTTAGGGTTGTTTGTAGGTGAAGATAAATTATATCTTTTAGCCCTGGCCGGTTTGGCTCAGCAGTTAGAGCATCAGTTCTCAGACTGAAGGGCTGCAGGTTTGATTCTGGTCATGGGCACATACTTGGGTTCCAGGTTTGATCCTCGAACTAGATGGGGTCATGCAACAGGCAACCAATCGATGTGTCTCTCTCACCTTGATCTCTCTCTCTCTCTCTCCCTCTCCCCCTCCCCCTCCCTCCCTTCCACTCTAAAATAAAAATCAATGGAAAAATATCCTCAGGTGAGGATTAACAACAAAAAAATGTCTTTTATTATTATAAAATGTCTCTGGTAATACTTGTTATATCAAAGTCTACTTTATGTGATATCACTATATCCATAAAAGCTTTCTTATGCTTACTGTTAGCAAGGTATACCTTTTTCCATCCTATTGATTTCAACCTCTCTGTTAACATTAAAAACACATCTCTATTATACAACTTATAGTTGGGTTTTTCTTTTTTCTTATCCAGTCTGACAGTCTCTGCCTTTTTTTGTTGTTGTTAATCCTCACCCCAGGATATTTTCCATTGATCTTCTAGACAGAGTGGAAGGAAAAGAGGGAGAGAAAAACATCGATGTGAGAGAGACACATCGATTGGTTGCCTCCCACACCACCCCAACAGGGGCCAGGGATCAAACCTGCAAC